CATCTGACCGGGAGGTAGCTTGACACACTGGAATTATTCTTTGTCTGTCTCTCTGTACCCAAACCACCAATTATGGTGCTCTTTGGAGTGAAATACAGGGAGGTGAGGAGTTATCTGGGGATACCTGGGAGTTTGGGGCACTACCTTCCTGTAGACTCTGAAACCATAGAAACGAGAACCGGAACAACCATGAAGCCACATGGAACCTTGGGCCAGATCATGGGATGGCTCTGACCCAGTGGAGCTTTAAAGGACTGTTACTTGAGCTGGGTACGTTCAATCCAGGCGCATTTTAGATAGTGGGTAGCTGATGGGAGTGAGCTACCCAGAGATGTGTGTTTTGATATTGGGAAAGGGAATTTTGGGTCTCCGATTTCCTGGCACCTTATCTGGAGAGGATACAGCAGAGGGAAAATATAATTAACTCTCGACTCATCATAGAAAGTGATCTCATTAACACGTATCAGCCTAGACAGAGTGGCATCGGGGAGGGGATTACATTATCTTGTATTGTACGGATCACTCCCTGCAAGGTGAATCCACATCAGGGGTAAAGAAATATAATAATAATTATAATAAGTTGCAAATTTTATAGCGTTTTTCTCCCTGTGAGACTCAAAGCACTTTACAAATATACAAGCATTAAGACATAAAAAAGTTAGGAGTTTCTGAAGGTCAGATGAGCGGACTGAATGCCTGATGGAAGAGGTGGGTCTTTAGCTTTTTTTTTTAAAAAGTCTGTAAGGACGATGCTCTCTGATTGAGCACAGTAAAGAGGTCCAGAAGGTAGGGGCAGCGTGGCTAAATGCCCTGGAACCGGAGTCTGTCTTTATTCTTGGCAATGACAGGAAGAACTTGCTGGCTGACCGAAGTGAACGGGATGAAATGTAGGGTGTCAGGAGCTGTTTCAGGTACTGTGGGCCTTGATTGTTTAAGCCTTTGAAGGTTAGCAGTCCAATTTTTAAATATGTTCGCCATTTAATTGGAAGCCAATGCAGGGAGTGGAGAACAGGTGTTATGTGGCAGGAGCGAGTTTGATTGGTCAGTAGTCTGGCTGCTGCATTTTGTACAATCTGAAGGTGATGGAGTTCTTTTTGTGGGAGGCCCAAGTAAAGTACATTGCAGTAATCTAGCCGAGAGGATACAAATGCATGGATTAATGTTGGCATATCATCCGGTGGAATTAAGTGTTGTATCCTGGCTATGTTTTTCAGATGAAAGTAGGCAGATTTTATTACGGAAGAAATCTGCTGTTTAAAGTATAGTCCAGAGTCAATCAGCACTCCGAGGTTTCGTACCTTTGATGAACTAATGAGTTCAGAGCCTCCAAGCTCCAGGCCAGTTGGGTGGGGTCTGTGGCGAATGTGATCTCGCCACTGGTTCTTGGAGGGGACTGATTGCAAGCCTCATGCCTTGGGACTATGGCCCTTGGGAGATTGTGCACTTTAAAAACAGTATTGGGGCTTATGGACTTCTATTAGGCTGTGTATGGCCCTTTAAGAATGGTATTTGGGCTTATGGGACTTATTGGAACTCTGCCCCTTTAAGACTATGTCCCTAGGGTCCCAAAACCTTTAACATACTTGGTTCATGTCTTTCTCCCACTTGGTTCAGTAAATGGAGCTTACTGAACCAAATATTACATTGGCGAACCACGCAGAAGTAGAAGTGTGCAGCTAATTTACTTCCCAGGCTGGGAGACTGCTGTAGGTTAATTGCTGCGTGGCCACCGTTCGTACAGTCGAACACGTGGCAGTGGCCATCTTTATTCATTCAAACGCGGTCAGTGGTGTGTGCAGCCAAATCTATGGAACTGTTTTCGACTACCCAATTGCACGAACACCGCTGACCCGTACCTTCTCCTCTACTTCAACACTGCGGCTGGAGACTAAGTCCCGTTCGACAATTCAAACGCATGTTCGAATGGGTCATTTTTTCAGTGTGAAATTGACCGACCGCACAGCCCAAATCTATGGAACTCTTTTGGGCATGAAAATGTTGGTCAACTAGGACTTCCACTTAACTTTTTAACCCCTGAACCGATTACCCTGATTTTTGAGTACGTTTATATTTGAATTATGCTGATGCTGAAAATGTATGTTTTATGTGAATGGCATGTATATTTTGAAAGTTATTAATATTGTGTAAAAACTGTATATTTCCTGTCTGTGATAATTACATTAACCCTTTGTGTACAGTAATTGTATCACAGGCAGAGGGGAAGATTTTGTGGGAATGAATGGGAGTGTTTTACTATATATTACGGGTTTGATTGGTTGTTCTTCAAAACCCTGTGGGCGGTACTATGTGTGTAAAATGTGCATAAAAGCAGAGTGTTTCATTAAAACTTCAGTTCTACTTCACCCTCAATTTGGAGTCCTGTCTCTTCTTGGGGGAACCTGCTACAAGGGATTGCTATGCTCATCATACTATCTTGCTATAATCACTACTAAGCTCTTTTAAGAGCTTGTTCTTGCTTTGCTCTGAAGGAAGAGGGTTTCGGTCTGCGGTGGTTGTGGTGTCTGCTAGAGTGCTTGGAGCCCTCAGGAAGCGCTAGGAGCATCCTTCAATGGAGGTACCCAGTCGGGGTGCCAGGTGATCCGTTACAGGGTCACTTTAAGCCTACTAGCATTCATCCATTCTACGAGGTCTGCTAAGCAACTGTTGATGCGGCATGCTGGATCTGTGGTATCTGGGGCAAATTAGAAGTAGAGTTGTGTGTCATCAGCGTAGCAATGATAACTTAGGCCGTGTCACCTAATGATGTCCCCCAGTGGTAGCAAGTAAATTGCGAATAGCAGGCCAGTTCTGTTGGTGCGGATAAGCTTGATCCTCGTGTTACTATTTGGATTTTGCCAAGGCATTTGATACAGTTCCACACAATAGATTAGTGTTCAAACTCAAGGAAATCGGTCTAGATGAAAATGCTTGTTCTTGGGTAGAACATTGGCTTAAAAACTGAGTACAAAGAGTTGTCATTAATGGTAAATATTCAAGCTGGACAGAGGTGGCAAGTGGTGTCCCTAAGGGGTCTGTTCTGGGACCCCTTCTATTTAACATATTTATAAATGATCTTGAAGACAGCATTGAAAGTCATGTTTTAGTGTTTGCAGATGACACAAAACTTTGTAAAATAATACAATGTGAGCAAGATATTACTTTGCTGCAGAGGGATTTAGATAAACTGGGGAACTGGGCACTCAAATGGCAGATGAAATTTAATGTTGAAAAATACAAAGTTATGCACTTCGGCATAAAGAATACACAAGCAACGTATACCCTTAATGGAAGCGAATTAGGGATAACAACACACGAAAAGGACTTGTGCAATGTCAATCAGCAGTGGCCAAGGCCAGTAAGGTATTGCCATGCATGAAAAAGGGCATTCATTCTCAGGACGAGAATATTATTTTGCCTCTTTATAAATCACTGATAAGACCACATATTATATATGCTGTACAATTTTGGGCACCTGTTCTAAAGAAGGATATTATGGCACTAGAAAAAGTGCAGAGGCGGGCTATAACATTAGTAAAAGGAATGGAACATATCAGCAATGAAGAAAGGTTAACAAATTTAAACCTATTTAGTTTAGAAAAACGTCGCCTGAGAGGGGATATGATAACATTATACAAATATGTTCGGGGCCAATACAAACCATTGTGTGGAAATCTATTCACAAACCGGACTTTACATAGAACACGTGGTCATGCGTTTAGACTGGAAGAAAGAAGATTTCATCTAAGGGAAAGGAAAGGTTTTTTCACTGTAAGAACAATACGGATGTGGAATTCTCTGCCTGAAGAAATAGTTTTATCAGAATCCATACAGATGTTCAAACATCTACTAGATGCATACTTGCAAAAACAGAATATTCAAGGATATAATCTTTTTTTTTTTTTTTGTAATTCTTTTATTTTTGGCGTGTCGTTGCAATAAATTCTGGTGGGTATAGCTGTATAGCATAGTACATACATGGCACATTCGAGTACAAGAATACATTGTGTAGTGCGGTTCGTATCTTATTATCTACATTGTCACAAGCTGAGATGTACTGTTATTGATGACACTTTTTGACATTGTCACATTAAACCATTAACCAATTAACTGAGCAGAGGAGCGGGGGCCCTGGCCCGACACCTCGTTGATTGGCGTCGACCCGAGGCCCCAGCCCCCCGACAGCATGAAAGAAAGGAGAGTAGTGGATAGAGGGTGGGTGGGGGGGGAAGAGGGAGGTCAGAGACCGGAGTTTCGCCCAGACCACGCCCAGTGTTGACCAGGGGTGGCAATGCCCTCTGCCCCGCTCTAGATTCAGTCGTCTCTATGCGTGGCCTTCCAGGGTTCCTCTCACCAGTGCCGTGAGGTGGTCCATGACTTGGATGTCTCTTATTTTGTGTTTCACCATACAGATCTGTGGGATGTCGGGTTTAAGCCATGCCTTTGCCATAGTGAGCCAAGCTGCCAGGGTGATTTTACGTAGGAGTTTTTGCTCCCATCCTGTCCAGTCGTCCATTGGTCTATGCCTACCCTCCTCTGGAACACTCTGTCTAGTAGGCTCCCCACTTCCCTCCAGAAGGCCTGTGCCTTCGGGCAGTCCCACCACATGTGCTTATACGTTCTTATACGTTCCTTTTGTCCAGCACAGGTCGTCTGGGATTTTGTGCATGTGGTGTAGCTTCACTGGGGTAGTATACCATCTAAACATGGTTTTGTACGCCTGTTCCTGTTGTGTAACACATATTGAGGTGGTCTTATTTGCCTCCCATATGTCTCTCCAGTCTGTGCCCTCCAGGACCTCTCCCAGATCTGATTCTCACTGGGTCGTGTAATGTGGAGCCCCCCAGTCAGTGTTATTGGAGCTAAGGTGTGCATAAAGTGACGAAATTAGCCCTTTCGGGGGGTTTTCTTTTAGGCACATTTTCTCGAAGCCCGTGGGTGTAGTCTGTGCTGCAGTTTTTGCTAGGTTGTGTTGTGGAAAATCCCTGATCTGGATGTATCGAAAGAAGTCTGAGGGTGTTAGCCTGGTCTTTGCTGCCAGGGCTTCAAATGTTAGTAGCTGGTCACCCTTGTACAGGTGGATCGCCCGCTGTAGGCCTGCCCTCTCTATATTCTTAAAGTCTCTGGCACGCATTCCTGGTAGGAAAGCCCTGTTTCTCAGGACCGGCATCATGGGGAGGGTGAGGTAGTCAGTTTGTATTTTAGACCTGTGGCGTCCCAAACCCGTATGGAATTTAGGATTGCGGGGCATGATGCCGGCCTCTAGGTCTGCCCATCGTCAGTCTCCTGGTGCTGAGTGCCACATGGCAATTTGGGGTATCGAGATAGTAGTTGTGGAGATGGGGCAGGCCCAATCCTCCCCCATCCTTGGGTCTATACAAAACATTCCGGGACACCCTATGCCTTTTGCGCTGCCATATGAAGTCTCCTATTGTCTTTTGTAGGGGGGCCAGGTCAGATTTTGAAACAGGGATGGGAAATGCTTGGAAGAGGAGTCTTGGGAGTATGTTCATCTTTATCGTGTGGACCCTTCCTATCCACGACAGAGGTTTGTGCACCCATTTGTCTAAGTCCATGGTGAGAGTTCTGAGGAGGGGAGTGTAGTTGGCTCTGTATAGGTGTGTGGGGTTTGCGGTGAGCTGTATCCCCAAATATTTTATAGCAGTGTTCGCTATGGGTAAGCGGTAGTGTTCTCTTATGTATGTCACGTCTGTGGGTGTGACGGCTATTGGGAGCACTGTGGAAGTATATAATCTTTTAATGTAGGATAATAACTGCTTGATCCAAGGATAAATCTGACTGCCATACTGGGGTCAAGAAGGAATTTTTTTCCTAGCTTGTTGCAAAATTGTGCTTCAAACTGGGTTTTTTTGCCTTCTTTTGGATCAACAGCAAAAAACAAATGTGAGGTAGGCTGAACTTGATGGGCGCAAGTTTCTTTTCAGTTATGTAACTATGTAATATGAAACCCAGACTTGCTGATAGTAGAAATACACAGCTTTTTATTTTTGCTTTATGTCCATAGTGAGCAGTTCATTTTCCTAGTTTCGTCAGCCAACTTCTGTGAGTTGGGCTAAAACTAGAATATTAACTTCCAGTTTGTACTCTTTAAGAGGTTAATTTGTATTTTATAAAGCAAGTTCATGTTTATGGTTTTGTCTTTTTATCTCACCATTTTATTGAAATACCCTGTCTTACACCACAAGGGTCTGCTGTGTAGCCCATCAGAGGCAGATTATTATAGGTGTCACTGGAGTAGCTAGTCCAGGCCTATGCCTTAAAATACCATATATGTGGACTGTTTTATGTAGGATTTCTGTTTCCATTCTGAAGTGAGCTGCACCCACTACAATGAGATCAAACTGACTTTATCAGTTTTACACTAGTCAGCATGTGCTGTGCACAGAGGCTGGGCTTCATAGTGTGTGTGTGGATTTATAGTCAGGGCCGTCTTTAATATCGATTGGACCCTGGGCAAGCATTTGCTTGGGCCCCCTATACCTGCCCTTCCCCACTCCCCCATGCCCCCCCATTCTCAACCCCTAGCTCCCTGGCATGCAATCAGGGCCTCCACCCCAACCTATTGATAGAACTAATGTAGAGAGGGCTGTGGTGCAAGAATTGTTTTCTCTCCAATGGCGCAAGAGTGGAGAAAAGTTAGATACCCATCTGTCGTACAACTTCCACGATGGGGATCCACCGTGTGGCCATTCTTGTAGGGTTGTATTTGTGAGCAGTGTTTGTGAATTTGAATGTAAGCATGTTTTTGTATAGAGTATATGTGTGCATATAGGAGTGTATTTGTATATACTGCTACTATTGGAATGCAGCTGTGTACTTTTGTGTAGTGTTTGTGTTTGAATGCAGGGGTGTGTGTTTGTATGTAGTGTTGGCTTTTAAATGAAGTTGTGCTTTTGTGTATTGAGTTGGCGTTTGTATATAATTTTAGTGTTTTATGTAACATTTGTAATTGCATGCAGGGGTGTGTGGATGTAGGGTTGTCTTTTAAATGCAGATGTACATTTGTGTGTAGTTTAGTGAGTGAAGGGTGTGTTTGTATACAATTTTGGAGTTTGTATTAGGGGTGTGTTTGTATGTAATGATTGTGTTTGCTGTGGTGTGTTTGATTGCCTGGATATATGCACATACATACACAGACAGATACACACACTGACACACACAGCCAGATACACAGACTGACACAAACACAGACAGATACACACACAGCTAGGTACACTCACAGCCAGGTACAAACACTCACAGTCAGGTACACACACACACACACATACAGCCAGATACACACACTGACATACACATAGCCAGATACACACATTGACATACACACAGCAAGATATACACACACAGCCGGATGGATATATATATACACACACACACACACACACACACACACACACACACACACGCCCAGATGCACTCACTCAGACCCAGGTACACACACATATATCAAGTTACATCATATTTTATCCACCCTCTTGTCTCCTTACCTTTTGGGTACAGAAGGGTGGCTTCCCTGGGGTCCAGTGGGAGCTGGAAGGCCAAGGCTGATGAGAGTCTGTCCTCAGTCCCTTCCCTCCTCCTGTGTATACCTCCTCTACCTCCCCAGTGGCACTCTGTTACTTGGGAGGAAGTGATCTCACCTCACTTCCTCCCAGCAGGCAACATCAAAGGGGCCAAGGCCGAGCACTCTTAAAGGGCTGAGGGCCCTTAATTACATCAGGTGCTGCAGTCCACAGGATTTGGACCCCAGCAGGGGGCCCACAGAGCAGCTACTTTGGGCCCGGGGCAGCTGCCCCTTTTGCCCCCCTTTAAAGACGGCCTTGTTTACAGTGAGATGGTGGCATCTCAATCACACCTGGAAGAGTCCAGACATTGTGTAAACTAGCAGTTTGTTTGATTTTCATCACACATGTAGGCCATAAATACTATCCAGTGGAAATGGTAATTCAGCTTCTCTTGTTAGTCTCTATGCCTTTGCATCCCAACATACTAAATGTCCAGAGGAGTAGAGTTTGAATATATGCATTTTTCTACTTCTGAAATGTGCTATTTATGCATCTATGTATGATTTTATTTTTGTTGAATCCTATATTTGTCTAGTTATCACATTACCTATGTGCAGATATATCTTGCAGCTTTCCCCTCATCTTTTTCACAAGCGATTAAGCCAGGGTTTACAGTATTCAGTGTACTGCAATAAGCTTACCGTATATACTCGTGTATAAGTCGATCTCATGTATAAGTCGAGTGCAATTTTGTGACCAACAATTGTGAAATATGCTATGCCTCGTGGATAAGTCAAGGGTAAAACTTAGGGCTATGAAATTCTGGGATTTTTATAATTATATACATATATATATATATATATATATATATATACACATACATACATACATACATACACACCCTCTGCATTATTCTTATTTACTTTTTTTAATTTTAATATTTAAATTTTTTTATTGTGATTTTTTTGTATTTAATTTTTATTTTCATCCCCCCTCCCTGCTTGTTAGCTGGCCAGGGAGGGGGGCTCTCATTACCGGGTGGTCCAGTGGATGGGCTGTGTAGGAGGGGGGCTGGCAGAGAGCTGTTACCTTTCCTGCAGCTCCCTTCTCCTTGCCATAATACAGACACTGACTCGAGTATAAGTCGAGTGGGGGTTTTTCAGCACAAATAATGTGCTGAAAAACTAGACTTATACTTGAGTATATATGGTAAGTTTTTATAGCACTTAAAGGGACACCGTAGGCACTGTATCTGCTTCATCTCATTAAACTGGTTACAGTGTCTGGAATCCTCTGGTCCAATAATTTCTCTCAGCATTAAAATATTAAAAACAAGAGTCCTGGGCAATCCATCCCCTCTGTGCTGCTTTGGCTAATAAGGAAGTATTAGCCAGAGCAGCTGTGATTGGCTGAGACTGTCAACTGAATGCTTTTAGCCTGTCAGAGTTCCAACTGACGGTATGAATGGGTATGACAACAAGGAAGTGTGTAATCTCTGCCTTAGCTACACATAGTGAAGGGGCCAGACTGTGGGTGGCCAGGGACTCTTATTTTGTGGCATACTGCACGAACATGGTGCAACACTGAATGGAGGGACAATGCCAGGGCACTCCAGGCACTATAACCAATTCAAAGAGATGAAATGTTTAGTGACTACAGTGTCCCTTTAAAGTCTTGAATAATTGTGGTGGTCCCAATTTTAGCATTTAACACCTCCAAATGAGTTTATTCCCCCTCATCTTATTTTGTTACCACAAACTCACAATCCACTTCTGGGTTTATGCTTACCTTGGATATTAGGGGGCCCTTTGTAGGTTTCATTTCTCTTTTCCTACATTTATTCAGAGCGTTTTCTCCATATGTTAAAGTATCTGTACAATGGCTAGTTGTGAGGCTGTTCACACTAATAGTTTAATTAGTGGTTATTTGTCTTATTGGCCTGCATGTTCATCACCGATAGGAATTTGTTTTTTCCTATTTTCTGTTTGGTTGGTGTAGGTATTGGGCTATAGCAATCACCCTATAATGATAAGTATATTAAAAAAAATTTTTGTATTTATCTGTATAAATGACAAAATACACTAAACCAAACCCCTTAAATGCCACCAGTGAAGATATGAATAATGAGCAATTGCCCTGCTCTATTCTGAAGGCTGGAGAGCAGAAGATTCCACCAAATCTTTACTTATACAGACATAAGTCTTTATTTCCATATTAAAATGCAAGTGTTGTAAGTCACATTTGGATTTACGCTCTGGAAGAGCTGATTACCAACAGTGTTTCTTACCCCACAGATATGAATAAGGTTCTAACTTAAAATTTAATACGGGTGTTCTAGAATTACTCCAGTAGGCAGACCCTGCCGCTTGGGGGATGGTATACTTTGAGATTCAGGAGCCATAATCCACAGGCTCCTGTATGGTGGGTTCTCTAGGGGAAAATGTCTCTCTCTTCCCCCTCTCCCCCCCCCACCGTTTTTATCTTGCTATATCATCCCTTGTTATGACTGCCACTTGGAAAAATCTAAGATTTTACTTGCTGTAAATTTTTCCTGTAGTCCAAGCGATAGTCCTGATTTCCCTCCCTTTAGCTCAAAAAAAAAAAAATATATACAAATTGTAAACCTATATCCTACTAGGTTGTTCTATACTGGGAGCTCAGGGTGTAGTTACCCTTTAAGGCTAGGAGGGGAAGAGACTAGGTTGGGGGACTGCATTTTGTGATTTTAACCCTTTCAATGCTGCCTGTCCTGTGATGAATGGGCAACTACAGTGCACTTGTTACGACTGCTGCTTGGACTATTGAAAAATAAATTTACAGTAAGTAATAAAAATTCAGTCCTTCCTCCAATCCATTTTCCATCTTATGGAGTTGGCTCACCTTTTATTCTAAATGTAATTCGAAATCTGTCCCACTACCCAAGTAGAGTTCCTCAATCTCCCTTCACATTAAAAACCATCATCATTTTATGGCATTATTTCCATCTTCTTACACATATGCTCGACAATACCCTTTCCAAATTCTCCCCTCCCAAAATCTTTTTTTTTTTAATTCTTTGTCATACGATAGGTTATAGTGAATACAATACAACTTACAGGCTTACGCAGAAGCCAATAGTAAATAACTTTCTTGGGCGTACAAAGTGTATTACGAGTACACATTGACAAGCCATTTAGAAACCTTTTGTGCCTTGCTTTCCATCGAGGATTTTAAGATACTTCCAAAATCTTATTTACCTAGATAATAGCTGGATTTTCTTTAGCAAAGACAGAAACACCCAAACGGACTTTAGAAAATCTTTATTCACAATACAACTGAATACACATTTATATATAAGCAGTTTATAAATACATATGAGAGCATAAAAAGATAAAGGAAAAGATAAATTAAGATTTGATTGATGGGTGTATGTCAGTGCAATCTTGACAAAATTGCTAGAGGAACTTCCTACTTTACTGTATGAAGCAGGCATATCCAGTAACAAGTTTTTTTTTTTAAAATCAGAAAAAAATGTATATGATGTCCAGTGGTTACTGTACATTCACTCCCAGCTTCCTTTTTTAGACTGCTAAATCTTTGGTTCTAAGAATAAAACTTATAACCCTGAAAAAATAAAATGCACTCAAAGGGTGAACTGACATTTTCACAGTAATGCTACAATCAGAAGAGGATATTAGAATATTGCTTAACCTTGGCACATCAAATGCAGTCTCCCTAACAGGAAGATCGAAAGGTGTCATTTTTTTTAAATGCAAATTTGCAGTCAAGAATGTGCTAGAAGACTTTAAAAGCAAATGTGTGGAAGGTAAACAAAAAACCCAAACAAAAAAAAAAAAAATTTAAAACCAAAGGCAGTTACAAACATTTTGCTATTCTAGGAATAAACATTCTTAAAATAAGTTTACACAAGATGGGATTATTCATCGAATAAAGGAATTTAACTGTGAAACCATGTTACACTAAAATAGCCACCAAGATTGAGGGGAACTGGGGAAATATTTTGGACTATTTTGGCCTAAAATGGTCAGTTCCCCACAAATCCAAGCTTTGTGAATAAAACCAGAAGTGTTACTACAATGCAACAAGTGTTTCCTGCAGAATGTTGAAATCTGGGCCAATGGTCAGTTTTCTTTCAATAAAATGCACACAAAAACCCCCAAAAGAAATGTACTCTACGTGATGTTTCCCAATTCAGAGATACTTCATATTTGAGAAGAGCTTATGCAACCATTTGATACAGTAAAGCCTTGTGAGAGACAGCAGCAAATACCAAGTTTCAACCTTTCAGGGGTAAACTCTACTGTACCAGAGGCCCAGTGTAATCTTGTCAGGGCAAGGCCAGTTCTTTTGTTATATACAATAGTTTTTGGGGGGGAATTAAAGTTACAGTGAAAGGAATGTTCTAAACATCATGAAGCTAAAGAATCAACCAATATAAATCTAAACTACACAGCAAGAAAAAAACAAAACCAAAAGCAGCATTTCATGATTGTGCATACTCCATTAGTTGAATGAAACGTTTACTTTATCATGCTCTGCAAAGATGTTCCAGAGCAAAGCATAGTGAATGCTCGAGAAGACCCAGTACCCACAGGGTTTTGGATGGATCAAGTCCTCCATGTAAGCGAGGACTGGATGCCAGGGTTAGAGGATGTCACAAGAGAGCCAAAAAGCACCCCTTCTCTAATTGGGTAGCCCCAATTAAAATTGACTAAGTTAGCCCTGAGTAACTACATTAACAGATCAGCTTAAGGGAGAGCTTGCAATAAGTAGGACAGTGGATGTTTCCAACCTCCAGCTTTAAAGTCCATAAAAACTGCTCCCAGTGTATACAGGCAGAACGTACATTAAAAATGATATTGATATTACTGAAACAGACATGGTAAGACTAAACACTGAGTGCTGGAGCAGTGCACGCAGTGTTAAGAATAAAAAACTAAAAGCATCACTTTTAATAAAGTGAGATACAAGTTTGTTCTTTACTTTGATTACTAGTTTGCCCATTCTGAAGTGGGGAGAAAAAAAATAAAAGTAACTTGCATGATATTTTTAAAATTTTAGGGAAAAAAAAAAAATACACAAACAAAAATAAATAAACTGCAAGACCGACATCTTTACAGATATAACCAACCCTCTCACAGCATGTGATCCAGATATTATAACTGCTAAGAAGTCAAAGGGTTAAAGAAAAATAAAATGCTACAGTGAAGCTAATGTCTTGAACGGCCACCTTCAAAGGCATGATGCTCTTCATGGGCTGCAAGAGAAAACACAAACATGTATTTCATTATAATATTGAAACCCTGCTGCAAACTAGTCTCCATTGTGTATGCATACACACGATACATAGGATCCTTGCACACAAAGGTAGGTGAGCAAGCAGTCTTTATTGTAGAGTAAAAGCCTACAGCATAGGAATCTGCAATATCTGACATGTTTTATCCACATTTAATTCATGAGAAACCAGCGGTCTGCAGTCTCAGTGTCGTCACTAAGAAAAGGAATTACATACATTGCTACCGTTGACTGCGGTGGATCAGCTAAAGGGCGACTTAAACTCTTCCCTGCATTTTAGAAAACAAAATTATACATAGAAGATTTTAATACTATGCTAAATAAGAAAGATAGTAAGATTTGTTTAAATACTTACGTTTATAAAATACAGCTTTGAAAGATGTGTTTGGCAGAAGTTTGTAAATTTTCTCTAAAACAGTTGCTTCACCGACAACACAGGCATTTCCATTCCAAACTTGAACTACATCTTCACGGTCACGGACACTTACACTGACACCAATCACTTCATCATCTAGCAAGAGAACCACAGAATGACTCAAGGGAAGGGGTGGGTGAAGAGTTTACCAAGGCACAAAACAGAAAACCATTTACCTCTACCACATATCCATGTTCAATGTTGCTGCCCATGGATGCCTCTGGTCTCAGACAAGTTATGGATGAGGGCATGCACTTTCTAAAGTAGTGCATCATTGGAACAGCATTGCAATAATTAACACCTTATTAAACCAACAAGCAATACCAGGCAAAGATTAGCACAGTCAGCTAACCTTTATGCATTTGGTGATGCTAAAGAAGCAGAAGCTTTAGCCGTCGTTTGTTTCTCGCAACGAATGCAAGACGGTGCTTTACTTTTTACTCTTTAATTTTATTCATAAATACACTTTGTTATGGAAGAACAGATTAAGGAAAATATACAGAAGGCAGGCTAGATTTTAATACCACATCTCAGCCTGATTTTCAGTAAACACACCAGATGTGTCCCTTTGAGGAATTAAATCCAGGGTGAATAAAGTCAGAATTTGTTTTTAACATTGACGACAGTCTTTGACCATGTGGATCATTTCATAAAATTAATCTAGTTTTGCCTGCCCTCTTTATTAATGAAACATGCATGAGGTCACTGTTCAAGCACCATGATATATAATTGACCTCTAAAGAACACTAAAGAGGTACCAATATGGAATAAGCCATAGTACTTTTATGAAAAACAAAGAACTTAAACTTACCAATTGCACAGTGATCTGTAAACTGCTCTCCAATGGTAGCCAGTAGTAATTCTTTCCAAACCAAAGCCTAGAGGATAAAATAAGATTCAGAAAAAAAAACCACACAAACACACAACCTAATGTCATTGCTTTGTGTGGAAATACTTACTGAGCTTTCCTTTGGAACTTTCATTTTCCATACCCCTCCCTTGGCATTACTTTCTTCTTCCCTGCATAGAAGAAAAGTAAGAGAGTAATTTAGTACTAAAAGGTAAAGTCTTGCACAACATACATTGCTGTTGAGTTCAGTGCAGAAAGATAGGCTTGCTGCTAAACAGAAGCCTTCTATGCAATCTTTTCATGTGCCATTTAATAGCACATCCCAGTTTTACAGCAGTATCAAAGTCATTAAGACTGTACAACAGATCAAAATTGACATTTAGTTTATACACATTTTAAATATTCATGGTTATAAAGCAATACAATCTGATGTTCCCAGCCATTTCAGATGATCTAGCACCAGTGTTAACAGATCTTTACTTATGTTTAAGAGAAAACAGTCACAATACTACAATATTTTGATGAGCTGTTTAACATTTCCTCTAGATTAATGATAGCAACCCACTGCAATGCAGGTGTTCTAGCCATTATTTACATAGTACTTAGGGTTGACTGGTACAATTAGTCTGCAATACAAAGACAATTTGAATTGGCTAAATGCATAGTTTGTTATTGATAATTGAGAGGTTGACTTTAATCAGTGAATGAAATAGGCCTTACATTACCAAGATCCATGAGAAAATTTGGTCTGACTTTTTTGCCAAGTTTGCAAAACTAAAAGCCAGCTGCCTTTTAGCATTTAGTGAATAGCTCCTATTGCATCTTTATCAGTGAGAAGATGCCATTATAAAGTAATATCACACGATGCATGGTACCAGGAAATCTATGGTCTTACAGATCTGAGGACATTTCATGTGGTACATATGGAAGCCAAGCAATATAGTAGGCTGAACATTTAATGCAATGAAGTGGACCACTGAAAAATGAAATCCATTCCTATGCGAACTCACCAAAGCGGCTTTCTCTCTCCCCTCATCAAGTGGTAGCTACATCGCAGCGGGAGATTTGTAACTGGTGGAATATTGTTATACACACTCCAGAAACTCTACAGAGGGAAGGAAGATCACATTAAATATGGCTTATACTAGAGAAACCAATAAATCTAGACACACGAATAGGACCTTGGAGAGAGATTGTCATGTAAGTTTACATTATACATAGTTACTATGACCGCACCACAAATATTTTTTGGGGGAAAACAATCTACCCCAAGGTGTAATTACACATATGGTCCAACATTTATATTTTGTACTGTTGGAAAGCACTATGATTTGTAATACCTATAAACAAGCCTCATTTATTTTTAAGAGTAGAAAGATCTAAACCCCACAACTCTTAAATGAAAGCTACCTTGGGAAACACTTTAATCCAGTCAATGGAAGCCTCTTGTATTAAAGAACCATACAGATCATCAGTTGCCATAAATTCCTTTTTTGATGTACACACTGTCACGAGCGTGGGCTATAGTCCCAGCCGAGACAGTGGGGAGAGTGTGGAAGTGACAGGGTTAATGACACCAGACCCCTGGTTACCGGTTGCTAGTCCCAGCAACCAATTAACCCCTGCAATCCCTTCTACACACTTTACTGCCAACACCAAGACTTTTAACCTGGGCATCTTAGGTTACCCCACACACAGGAGAATTATAGTATCACAGTTCTACTTTTACTGATAAAACATATATAGTTAACCCCTTTTGGTAACGTGTTTACCTGAGCTTTCCTCTGGAGAGTGAAGCTCAGAGAACAGAGACACAAGCTGATTAAGTAAACATTTAATCTGACAAAAAAAAAAAGTCACAGTGCTGAGTACAAAATACAGAAATAAATGACAGATAAATTGCAAAACAGTATATAAAATAGGAGAAAACAAGAAATTCCTTACATGTAGTTACCCCATATAGAATTCTTGTGGGAGTCTTAGATGGTATAGGTCTCCTAGAAGTTGCTGACAAAAGAAAAATGCATAACTCTGGATAGTCCAGCACCCTCATTATATATCTAAACTAGTTGTTTCTCAGTGGGCAGACCCCTGGGGGGTGGGGGGTGGGAATCAGAGGGTGTTGGTCTGACAGTTTATTGCCCTCTCTATGCAGTTCCTTGTGTCCAGCTCTGGTGAAGGCTATCTAGCCAGATCAACGACCACAAACATCATCCCAAGGTTTTAAAAAACAAAACAAAAACCAAAAAAAAACACAAAAAAACCAAACCAACTCTTAACATATATCAATACATCAAACACCAACTCATGCTTTTGGCATGACACACCCATAGGTTTAGTTCAGCCATTTGCTTACTACAGAAGTCCCTAATGAGCAGGTACAAAAATAAAGTCTTACTGTACATTTTCCATAGTACAAGCAGCAGTTAGTTTCCCCTTTTCTCTCAGGACAGGCAGTACCAAAAGCACTGCCTGGACAGTTTTTGCACCAGAACAGCTCTATTGTGTCTGGTGCTTTGAAAGGAACACTCCAAGGACCATTACAAAGTTTGCATATCACGGCCCACACAGGGAACAATAAACGAACACTGCATTACCTTCCATTATTGTGCCATCGTTTCTTCATTTTAAATAAATATACACAAGACGGCGATTAAGCAGACCACCGCACTGGGAAACTGCAACTTTGACTTATAAGTTCCATTCTTTACCTGAGACCTCAGATGAAAAAATTACCTAGGTCCCGCTGGGTACACTTTGGAGTCTCCTTGCAGGAGCATCCAGTTAGCACCACTAAGCTAAGCAGGGTTGTGCTCAGCTGAAAAAAAAATACACACATATATCCATAAACAACCCATCTGTGATTACTGCTGCTTGAAGAGCATTATGCAATATGCCTTTATTTCCCCTAGACTCATTGCATGATTGCCAGAAAGTTTAGAGTTAATCATTGATTAACCAGAGTGATACTAGGGTCATGGTTTCTCTAGCCTGCATGTAATTTATTAAGAGACCAGCTATAACCCACGCGGCCTGAATACCATTTAACTCTCAAATTGCTAACCTTTGCTTAAGAATGGGTATGAATTTTTGTGAAGTCGTACTTGAATCCACTGATGCAATACAGTATTAACAAAATAGCAGTACAGTAACAAACAAGACTGCTGTATAAAACGTTTGACAAGAAACTTGTCCAGGTATCATCAAGAATATATCAAATTAAATACAAAACACACGGTGTAAAATGTTTTGAACAAACGCTGGTGCTACTATCACCTTAGTGGGCCACAATAACCACTAAAATAAACACAAGTGATAAATAGATAAAAAATGGTGAGAGCACTCAATACCGAATAATATTACCCACAATTAAATTAATATCTGAAAAAAGAAACAGAAAACAACATAGGGTAATAGCGTCAGAGTAAAATACTCTTGAACACCAATTCTATTTAATATTTTTGTCTCGATTATTCCTCTTTTTATAAACAGTATTTTATGTTTTTATTATTTACAATCACTCTTTCTCCCTTATATTTTTTCCTAACCATTATTTAACAAAATCTTTTGGGATCAATATGGCCAGTTGTATATTTAGATTCACTGTTAGAATAATTCTCCTTTCATTAATGGTTTGTGTCTCAAGTTTATTTCTGTAGACTTTATGCTATATACAGCCAAGAATGCTTGTGTTTCTATTTTGACAGTTCCCACACATCATATTCACCGAAACCGGAAGTGACACTAGGACGTGATGACGCAGGGCATGTCCTGACGTCAGAACCTGGAAGTACAATGCGGCGACAAACTCTGCCAAACCGGATTTAAATTGAACCTCAAGCCTGGACTAATCACAGCACCTCTGACGAAGGCTTTTGTGCCGAAACGCGTTAGGTGATTTTCAAGGACATCCTGGGACTATTTATATATTTTTTATGGGACTTTCCTTACTTATTTTATGTAGTTTTTTTACTTCATTTACAATTAAAGTTTGTGTTTAATCCTGAACCTGCGTTCCTGATTTCCACATTTATCTTGGGAAGAACCCAGCGAAAGCTTGTTCCAGTCCTAAGGATTACTTCTGTTCAAGGCATGCAGCTTGAGCCAGCTTCTAATTGGCTCCCTGTATGTGAGTGCAATCTACCCCTCCGTTGTGTATTTTACTCTGACGTTATTACCCTATGTTATTTTCTGTTTCTTTTTTCAGTTATTAACTTAATTGTGGGTAATATTATTCTGTATTGAGTGCTCACCATTTTTTATCTATTTATCACAAGAATATCAAATTACACTAGTGTGCCTGTACAGTACAGAGTGGCAGCTGAAGACTGCTTGCATTTTATTTACGTTATTAGAATAGGTCTTAAGATACTAAAGGCTTATAAGTATTATTGTCTGTAATGTTACCCGAGCACACAAGTGTTTTAGAAGCATCTACAGGTAATTAGCCAGTAGTCCCTAGAATCCTTCTGAACATCTGGTCATAGATTAGAGATCTTTCATACACAATTTTTGCTAACTCTCTTACCTGGACAGTTTGCACTGTATATATTTTTTTCAAGTTTGATTCACATTCTGCTGCTGTTGTTCCTGGAAGAGACCTGGAAAACAAAAACGATGGTAAATTCAAATTGCAAGCAGCTTGAGCTGTGTGTGATCAAACAAGCATGTTATCTGCCATAGCACGTTGTGCATAAAAAGCCTACCAATTAAATGCATGAGAACGACCCACATTGTGTTTCTTCACTTTGCACATACTGCAACATGTGTTAATTTTTTTAAATTTTAATTTTAAATTGCAGTTTGAGGCCAATTGCATCTAACATGCAATTAAACCTTATGTCCTGCTGTGGAAGTTGTGAATGCCAGAACCTGAGGAGTTAAATCACAGTAAGTCAGGCAGAAAGAGTGTGACAAGGACTGCATAGACAGCCACATTAGACTTAAAGGAACACTATAGGGTCAGGAAAACAAACATGTATTTCTGACCCTATAGTGTTAAAGCCACCATCTAGCCACCCCTGCCTCCTCTAAATATAGTAATCTTACTTTTGTTAAGGTCTGCAGCTGCTGGCCCTGGCCATTATCTGCCAGTTGGCTGACACCAAGTGTTGCTCTGAGCCAATCAATGCCTTCCTATAGGATTGGCTGAGACTGTCGAGGCGGCAGAGCGAAACAGCCTTGGCCAATCCACATCTCAGATGCACTGAATTAGTGCATCTGTGAGTCAAGTTCAGTGTCTCCATTCAGAGGGAGGAAACACTGAATGGCAGTGCTGCACAATGCTGTCCCAGGAAGCACCTCTAGTAGCCATTTGAGGAGTGGCCAGTGGAGGTATCCCAGGCTGTAATGTAAACACTGCATTTTCTCTGAAAATACATAGTTTACTACAAAGTGAAATGCACGAGAAAGGCCCATATTGGGTTTCTTAACTTTGCATATACTTTGAACATGTGTAAAAAATTTAAAAAATAAAATAGCAATTTAAAGACAATTGCATCTGACATGCAATTAAATTAAACATTATGTTCTGCTGGCAGTCAGAAAACAAGTAGTGTTACTTCCTGGTTTTTTTAGCTCAGTGAGGCAGCAATTGCACTGAGCAACTGCCTTGCAAAGACTTCTCATTGAGCTGCATTGGGAATTCTGTGATTGGCCAGGTACAGAAAGTATAGTCTGTTACAGATAAGTGGGGCTGGAAAAGGTGTCAGACAAGATATGCAGCTTTTGAAAGCTTTTTTCAAAAGTTTATACCCACAATTAAAGCTCTCCTACCAAGCAGGACAAATCAAAGGCTGCATGCAGACTGGAAGTGGTTGTTACAGGAGACAAAACATGGATGAAGTAGGATATGGTGGCAGTGTATAGTGACTAAATAACTTAACATTAATATAGTAGCTTTGATATATGATGCACTGAACACCTCATTTGATAGCTTATTTGTATAAGCAACATGGCATAAACACATCAGTTGTGTTTAATAATTTCTATACACCTGCAAATAAAGGAAAATAAATTCACCATTTAGTCCAGATACATATAAGATATGACTAGGATTTCAGTTATATTTAGAAGTTCAAAAAAAAAAAAACACATCAGGTGTAAAACCTGTAGTAAGAGGAACACTTATGTTAGAATTAGTTTGCCTTCCCAACATTATAGGGTTCATATAAAAAGGAAACTATTGTTTACCAAACAAATACAATAAAAATAAATAATTTTATGTTTGTACTAGCTGCAAACTTTGCAATATTGCAATTTTATTCTTAAAGGACCACTCTAGGCACCCAGACCACTTCAGCTTAATGAAATGGTCTGGGTGCCAGGTCCAGCTACAGTTAACCCATTTTTTCATAAACATAGCAGTTTCAGAGAAACTGCTATGTTTATGAATGGGTTAAGCCTTCCCCCATTCCCTCTAGCAGCTGTCTCATTGATAGCCGCTAGAGGCGCTTGCGTGCTTCTCACTGATTTTCACAGTGAGAGCACGCCATCGTCCATAGGAAAGCATTCTGAATGCTTTCCTATGTGACTGGCTGAATGTGCGTGCAGCTCTTGCCGCGCGTGCGCATTCAGCCGAAGGGGAGGAGAAAAGGAGAGCACTCCGCCCAACGCTGGAAAAAGGAAAGGCCTACATTTAAGCAAGCCTTACCTTTGACTTCACCCCACATCCATGGGATCCAACCCAAAGATGTCACTTTCTAAAGTCTTAAGCAAAAATTTGTAAATATCCCTCTAATTGGCAGCCACTTTCAAGTATTTAAATACTAGCAGAATGCGATTGCCAATTTCAGTCTTAAAGGACAATAGTCACCAAAACAATTTTAGCTTAATGAATCATGCCCCTGGTGTTTCACTGCTATTAAGGAGTTAAATCACCTTTGTTTTAGTTTATGTAGCTCTAACCATACCTCCCCTTTGCTGTGCATAAACACAAAATGGTTTCGTTGTCCATTGTAAACTATGTTAACAGTTGTTATCTCCTGCTCTGTCAATAGCAGTTTAATTACATACCAGTCTCTTGCAGTGCTTAGCAAACTAAACTGTGCAGGAGATAAATTATAAGTTAAATGGAATGTGCAATAAAGGAAGTGTAAACATTAGATGACACTTTACAAGTGTTTAGGAAGGCTGTGCAGGTCACATGCAGAGTGGTGAGACTAGACTGCATAATTACAGAATTAAGCAGTGAGACTGCAGGGACATGATCTATACAACATAGAACTTTGTTACGCTAAAGTGGTTTTGGTGACTATCGTGTCCCTTTAACCATAAAATACAGCACCCCATCACTATTAAGATTGCGTAGAATGGTTTTTAAACTTACATGTTTAGCACACAAGTCACAACTTCACTTTGGAGTTACCCTAGGAATGATTTTACATTTCTCCACTAGGACTCCAAATAACATCCCTTCTTTCCATTACGGAAAAGAAAGCATTTGCAAACAAATGCTTAGCTTTTGCAATCAGAGGGTTTTGAGTTCATCCAGTGCACTACACAATTTGAAAATTGTATCTTACATATGATTTAACTGTACTCCCTGTATGTGGAACTTAAGGACACATGATGGAAATATTCCATCATGATTCCCTTTTATTCCAGAAGTTGTGCCCTTAAGGGGTTAAACTATACCATCACCCCTTTCCCTTACCTAATGCCCCTTGTACCTTAAGGATTAGACTACACTCACATCATCTTTTCCTCCAAATTTCCATTACACCATTTCATTGCACGTACACAATGTACACAGTATGCCTTCCAGTGGTGTTCATTTTGATCACCAATTGTGTTTAATTTAGCAATTGAAGTGGAACTTAGATTCGCCAGCTTTTGCCAATGATGACACTTAACATAAATAGTTGTTTTAATTGAACATAGGACTAAACCAAGGTGAATTGTAACACACAAAAAAATAAAACATAAACCACCACAAGGAAGAGGGAGGAACAAAGATAGAGACCGAATGTACAAGAAACAGGAATTGGGAAAAGGGGAGGGCAACAGTGGTCAGTTGAAGTCTAAATTCTAGATAAAACCAGTGAGGTTTCATTTAATTACCCTGTAAGAGTTAATGTGAGCTATAGCAGACAACAGCCAGCAGTCAGTGTATAATAGCCAGCCAGCAGTCAGTGCATAACAGCAGCCAGTGTATATTATTGTTATTAATAGGCAGCCAGCAGTCAGCGTATAATAGGCAGCCAGCGTATAATAGGCAGCCAGCGTATAATAGGCAGCCAGCAGTCAGTGTATAATAGGCAGCCAGCGTATAATAGGCAGCCAGCAGTCAGTGTATAATAGGCAGCCAGCAGTCAGTGTATAATAGGCAGCCAGCGTATAATAGGCAGCCAGCAGTCAGTGTATAATAGGCAGCCAGCGTATAATAGGCAGCCAGCAGTCAGTGTATAATAGGCAGCCAGCAGCCAGCGTATAATAGGCAGCCAGCAGTCAGTGTATAATAGGCAGCCAGCAGTCAGTGTATAATAGGCAGCCAGCAGTCAGTGTATAATAGGCAGCCAGCAGTCAGTGTATAATAGGCAGCCAGCAGCCAGCATATAATAGGCAGCCAGCGTATAATAGGCAGCCAGCGTATAGCAAACGCCAGCGTATATAGCAAACGCCCAGCGGCCAGTATACGCTTAAACGCCCAGCGTATAGCAAACGCCAGCAGTCCAGTGCCGCAACAAACGCCAGCGTACCAATAAACAGCAGCAGTCAGTAGCCATAGCAGCGTAGCAGCAGCATGCAACAAACAGCCAGCAGTCCAGCATTATAGCCAAGCAGCAGCGTATAATAGAAGCAGCAGCGCTGGCAGCCAGCAGTCCCAGTATATAGCAAACGCCAGCGTATATGCGGCAGCCAGCGATCAGTAGCAAACGCTTAGCGTATAATAAACGCCAGCGGTCGAGTAGCATAATAAACGCCAGCGCAACCAAACGCCAGCAGTCCAGTATATAGCAAACGCCCAGCATTATAGCAAACAGCCAGCATCCAGTATATAATAGAAACGCTTAGCGTATAATAGGCAGCAGCAATCCCAGTATATAATAGAGCAGCAGCAGTCAATTGTATAATAGAGCAGCCAGCGTATAATAGGCAGCCAGCAGTCAGTGTATAATAGGCAGCCAGCGTATAATAGGCAGCCAGCAGTCAGTGTATAATAGGCAGCCAGCAGCCAGCGTATAATAGGCAGCCAGCAGTCAGCGTATAATATTGTTATTATTATTATTATTATTCAGCTAGCAGTCAGTGTTATTATCAGCCAGTATAATATTATGATTATTATTATTCAGCTGGCAGTGTCACACAGTCACACAGTGTTTCCGCCACTCCAGCCAGGCTCCCCCGCCGCCCGGTACCTGTCCAGCCAGAATGTCCAGGGTGAATGCAGTGGGATGCCGTCTCCGTCGGCGGCCAGGCTGCTGAGCTCCTCCAGGCCCCGGTGGTTGAGCTCTAGTTTGTCCTCGGTGTCGGGCTGGAGCCGCCGGTCGGGAGCCGTGGGGAGCGCCATCTTCCTGTGGACTCTCCGCTTTAGCCCTGCCCCCGCCAGCACCGTAGTCGTCATTGTTGTCGCCTGCGTAAGACACGTCACCCGTAACCACAGCAACCTCGCACTCTGCCGCGCGGGCCTGGGGAACGCGCGCTCTTATTGGCCGGGGTCCGTGACGTCATCGGCCTGTTTTGTTTTGTTTTGTTTGAGCGTTGCGAGCTCTGCGCTCTGATAGAACGCCGGCTCCCATTCACAGAGCGAGGGCTACAGTGTAACACACTGACTGGCTGGCTGGCTGGCTGCTGATCCCAGTAATGTGTTAACACAGGCTAGCCAGCACACTGACAGGACTACAGGGAATTTAACATTTAAAGGAACCCCACAGTGTTAGTAATAGAAAACTGTATCCCCCCCTCCCCCCCATATAAAAGGGCAAATAACACTGGCAAATTAGCCAATCTGTAATACTTGGTGCTATCTAATACAGACAAAGCAAATCAAAAAGAGAGTCAAATAAGTTGGTAAATCAGAATTCCTTTAAAAAAAAAACAAACAGGCATAACTCTATCTTTGATATAATAGCAGTATGGGATCCCAAAAAGGGGTAACTCTTAATTAAGAGTAAAAAGAAAAAGTGCCACATTCGCTCATATAACACCCCCCATCCCACTTTCTAAAAAAAAAAGAAATAAGAAGCTCGCTCTGGTTTTGGTACAGAGAGCTTGGTATGTTTCAGGTCTGGTAGGGGTTCTCACAGAACTCTGGGGTATATGAGGGAGATAGCTATTATATAGAGTCAGCTACATTGAGTTGGAGTCAGACAATTAAACAGTTTTTTTTTTTAGATTGGTGGAATATGAGGTACATCTTTCCCCCCTCTTGAGGGATTAAATTGTTAAAAAAAAACAAAAAAACGTTTCTTTGCTTAGATAGTATCAGCTTGCAGATTAGTGGAGGTTATTTAGATATATTGTTACAGGGAAACTGTGACTCAAGATTAGTATCTTTGTTGATATACATAGAATAGTTTAAACTATCAGACAGTGTTTCAGGGAAACTGTGACTTTTAAAGCAACAGTGTCAATCCGAATCTACCTTTCTCCTACTGTTATTCTTTGTTTCTCTCTCAGAATCTGTTTCTTTTTTCTCTTTATTTCTGATCTAGTTTCCTTTAAAAGATAAGACAAAGTAGGGATTACTTTGTTTTATGTATTTTTCAAAGCTTGACTTTCTTTGACCCAACTCCATTACCTGTGTCATAGAAAGTATTCACCCTTCTCATTGACACAGGAAATTAAGATGATTTAAGCTCAACCTTTTGTTAAAGATGGTCAAGCATTGGAAAAATAATTAGTAATCCCTACTTTGTTTTATGTTTTAAAGAGAACTAGATCAGAAATAAAGAAAATAAAAACAGATCCTGAGAGAGGAAAAGAAAAGGAAACAACGAGAGAAAGGTAAATTTGGAATACCAGTGCCTCTTAAGGATAGCATTAAACTGCTAAAGCTCAGTAGTTCTGCTGCTCAGTATGATATAGATTCCTCTGAGCTTCACAAATTACTAAAGGCCGATGTTTCTTCGGACAACATTTAGTGACATTTTTGATTGTGTATGTAGAGGCATAGTTTCATAATTTTGATTTGGTGTGGCATGTTGGTCTTTCATTTTTCTTTTTCTATGAGTCTATAGCAATGAACCAGCATTACAGAAAGGTTTGAGGGAGTTCCGCTTATTCATCAAGCAGACCATATGCCAACAATTCCCATATTCTATGGAAACCGTACCCCTACTGATAGGTTATCTAATGGACTTGCAATTTTGAATAGACACCTCATCTTGCACATCACACTGGCCATGCAATTATACACTGCACATAAAAACCACTATAAATTTCGAGTGTATGAATTTCTCACAAGATGCTAGTCCAATTAAAAACGTTCAGTGTGATCTGGTAGACTTGGAAGACATGAGCTATCAACTCCTGAACATGAATAAAATTGCTTGTGCCTTTTGTCCAAAACCTATTTTAACACATTAGAAATATTATAATGCGAAGTCAATGTCAACAAACCATTCTCCTTTTCAAGTAATCCTCGTTCTAGGTGCATCCTTTTTAATATTGCTTCTAACAAAAGAGACAAAAGTAACATTTATATGAAAAAAATGGTGAGTGACTCTTTAAGGAATCATCTGTAAAATCTTCCATTTTTGACAATTCTTTTCCTCAAGTTAGTTTCAGCACTCAATGTAGTTTTCACTATTTGACAGATCTCATTTGCTCATCAAGAGTGCAAAGAGCAAACCACCTTTCATTTCCTGCTTGCTGAATATAATTGTCAGCAGAGAGTTGGCAAATAACTAGGGAATTTTAGCTCATCCAAATCTTTTTCAAGGGACAGACCAAGTAACACTTCTCTTGCCAAGCCATCCGTTTATTAGTGTACTGCATTACCCTGTCATCTTTGTGGTATACACATGATCTGGAAGGACTGTGACCTAACTGGATCTTTGATCTGGGTTCTAAGTAATATATATATAAAAATATATATATATATATACTTGTTTAAATTAGCTGTGGGAATTGGATGCCTAAGCAACACCATTACATGGATTTATTGAGCATGTGGAATACCTGGAGTACTGATTATATCAGATTGAAGTGTACACATCTCCTAGTGGCTACAGCAGTCGTTTCCAAACCAGTCCTCAAGGCATGTCTGCCAGTCCAGGATTTAGGGAATGCCCAGGTGCGTCTAAGGTGTTTTTAGAAAGAAAGAAAAAAATCTTGATACAACTGGGTAATCCCTAAATCCTGAGGTATTAAAAAGTGCATAGGAATGAATTGTAACACAATATACTGGTAAGTTTTATATTGTTAGTTCCAGATAACATCCATTTCACTTTCTTTTGCTGTGCAGGTTGGTTTTCATGTATAGCTAATTAAGCTATGTATTCACTGTTCAGTCTAAGCACCCAAACAAATTCAGCTTAATTAAGTAGTTCAGCTTCTTGGATCATCTATCACAATCTTACTGCTCAGTTTTCTGGCATTATGTAAACCACTTTTTTTCTACAAGCCTAGCTAAATGTCTCCTGACTGATGTATACAACCTCCCTACACACTTCCTGAAGAAACATGTTGACTTGACCCCTATCTTAGGTACTGTGTACTTTAGATGTTCCTATCTCCTGATCTGTTAGTTGCCTGATAGCGTCTGCAATTATCACAGCCAGCAAATAACACAGTCACAACCTGCTGTGTGAGTAGACTTCTCACACAAAGCATTCACACACACACAAAAATAAATATACACACTAACATACAGATATATTTACATACTTACAAAGATGGACACACTGAAAGATACATGAACACACATAGATGTACATATTGAAAAACTGGATAGCTATATTATATATATGCATACATAAATACATCCAGTAGTTTTAGATACAAATGTCTGGGCAGCAGCTGTGGTTTCTTTAAAGAGACAGTCTTTTATTCAGGAGTACAGATTATAAGCAACATTTCAACACCAATCAGTGCCTTTGTCAAATCAAGACTTGACAAAGGCATGGATAGGTGCCGAAACCATTATTTTCTGTACTCCTGAATAAAAGACTGCCTCTTTAAAGAAACCACAGGTGTGCCCCACAGGTGTGACCAGGCATTTGTATTAAAAACTACTTGACCTATTTGGGAGTTGGCCTTCACGGTTTGGAGGCACCCTGAAGGGAGTATTACCCAAACAATAGTGTGCGCATTTCCTCTTTGTTTGAAAAGATATACATAAATATTCACACACAGATATACATACACTGATAGATACGTTAATTGACAAATGTGTACTAACCGACAGATGAGTGATAATTTATCAGATAAGTGAACAAGCATGCATAAACAGACCGACAGATATACACAAACAAACAAACACAGTCACATACACTAACAAATATATAGTCATACCGGTATATACAAGTACACTCAAAAATAAAGATACATAAACTGACAGATACATATAAATACATACATGTAGTTACACAGACACATGTAATACCTGCCTGATTTATATACACACACAGAAACATACTGTGACAGATACATGCAATATATGCCAGATGTATGTATATATATATATATATATATATATATTATACATACATTATCACACACAGAAACATACCGTGACAGATACATGCAATACATGTGCACTGACAGATGCATATTTAACACATGTACAGATTCACAAGCTCAGACTGTACTTCTTGTTCATTCATTAGTGAATAGCTTGACTCGTGTGTATGTTTAACATTTAGTGGGTTTACCCATGCCCCCCACCAGGGCCATGCCATGCTCTCTCCCTCCTCTCCCCCTGTGCCCCTGCCTGACTCCCACCAGAGCCCCCATGCCCCCCACCAGGGCCATGCCATGCTCTCTCCCTCCTCTCCCCCTGTGCCCCTGCCTGACTCCCACCAGAGCCCCCATGCCCCCCACCAGGGCCATGCCATGCTCTCCCCCTCCTCTCCCCCTGTGCCACTGCCTTTCTCCCACCAGAGCCCCCATGCCCCCCACCAGGGCCATGCCATGCTTTCCCCCTCCTCTCCCCCGTGCCACTGCCTTTCTCCCACCAGAGCCCCCATGCCCCCCACCAGGGCCATGCCATGCTCTCCCCCTCCTCTCCCCCTGTGCACCTGGCTGTGCGTGCTGTGGCTGCACCGTGCATACATTACAGGATCCATGCTGCTGCTGCTGGAGGTCCCTTTAATCTGCACATGACTTGCCAAGGATCCGTCGCTCACAGACAGCTGTCTCCATGGCTGGGCAGCCTGATCTAGGGAAAAGCAACGCATCCCTCCTTCCCAGCGACATCAGCCCTGCATCCGTGGCTAAACTGGCATCCCTGGGCTTCATCGCCTCTGTCAGCCTGGTGGGCAACCTCCTGTTCGCCTTCATCACCCTGAGAGCCAGGAGCCTGCACACAGCCCCTTATTACTTGATGCTGGACCTGATCCTGGGAGATGTCATCCGCTCCCTGCTTTGTTTCCCTTTGGTGCTGAAATCCATCACTAGTGGATCTCAATGGACCTATAGCATGAGGAGCTGCCGGATCATGGCCTTTGGGGCAGTCCTGCTCTGCTTTCATGCTGCATTCATGCTTTTGTCCATCAGCCTGACCAGGTACATGGCCATAGCCCACCATAGGTTTTATTGCAAGAGGATGACAGGCTGGGCTTGTGCCCTTCTCATCTCCATGGCTTGGATCCTGTCCACAGCTATGGCCTTACCTCCAGTATTTGAGGTGGGCACCTACAAGTTCATAAGAGAAGAGGACCAGTGCACATTTGAGCATCGTTATGTTAAGGCTAATGACAGCCTGGGCTTCTTGCTAATGCTGGCCTTCATAGTGGGGGCCACTCATTTAATCTATATGAAGCTACTGTTTTTTATTTATGACCATCGCAAAATGAAGCCAGCCCAGCTTACCCCAGCTATTAGCCAAAATTGGAGCTTCCATGGTCCAGGGGCAGCTGGCCAGGCAGCTGCCAACTGGATTGCAGGATTTGGAAGGGGTCCTACACCCCCTACCCTGGTAGGAATGAGGCAGACAACCCAAAATCAAATCAAGAGACTTTTGGTTTTGGAAGAATTCAAGCAGGAGAAGAGGCTCTGCAAAATGTTTTATGTGATTACAGTTCTGTTTTTGCTATTCTGGGCTCCTTATTTGGTGGCCTGCTATTTAAGGGTGTTTCTGAAGGCAGCTTCACTGCCCCAACACTACCTGACAGTGGCAGTATGGCTTACATTTGCTCAGACAGGAGTAAACCCTATTGTCTGTATCCTGGTAAACAAAGAAGTGAGGCTCATTTTGAGAGCCTATTTTCCTTGTATAGGCACCCAGACACAAAGAGAGCCTCATATAGACATTTAAGGCAGGCCTGTAAATGTATATTATTTTGTTATGGGGTATGCAAACAATAGTTATCATGACAGAATAAATTTTTTTTGCAAATTCCATGGGTGGTCAGACACAAACAACTTTCTTGTTGTAATTAAAATAAGTCTAGGGGTAATTGGAGTTTCAGTCAATCAAGGTTAGCATAATGAATTATTAATTCTGTTTAAAGTGAAGTTTAATTCAACAAATGGAGATACAAATGCTGTGTCTAAGGTACAGTGTGTGACATGTAACTGTCAGTAACAAGATTTCTTGCACAAGCTATGTTTTTTTTTTATTTTTGTCCTCAAAATAATATATATAAAAATAATAATGATAATGTATTTATGTGTGTCCAGACACATACAAATGTGATTGCAAAAATTGCCATTGAAGTGAAAAGTTTTAAACTTTGAACATAATAGCTTTACATTAACACCATGAAGAACGTCACAATTTCACCAGGCACATACTTTCTGTCTCTCTCTCTATCTGTATGTTTGTTGTACTGCACACAATGAAAATGAGACAGATTAAATTTGCGCAGGGCCCTAGGCCTGTCACCAGTTGCCCACTCCTTCCGTCACTCTCTTGGCGTGAGGATGGTTAATAGGGCCAGCTTTGGCCAGGTATCTTCTGCTGCTAATAACCAGCAATGCTCTGTTTATCTGCCATACCTTCAGGCTCAGAGTATCAGAAATCCATTGGCATTCAAATTCAGGCATAGGGTTGGAATTACATATCAAGCACTATAGACACAGATATTTCAACCCCCCCCACCCCCCCGCCTACAACCCCTCCCTCCTCCAAAAAAAGTTTAATATTAGGTAAGAAAGGTAAATATAAATATATAAAGTGTCAAATGTTGTCAGTTTTATTATTCCCACAGCTGTTACTATAACAACTTTTGGAATTTGTCATGTCCGCCTACATTAATGCGGACTGGTCTATGAAGGATCCGACAGTCATGTATACACCTTAGTTTACACTTCCCAGCTGCTTTATACCGATTAGGGATGTCACCTTCCAGGGACTTTGTAAAATAGCCATGACACACCCTTCTCCCAAAGGTGACAAAGCCACTCTAGGAAAGCATGCTTGTAAATGCATACACATGCATGTGTACTGTGTCATCATGGCCTTTGCATAACATCAAAGGCCATAACATCACTCCCACAGAAACCACAGCATCCACACTGATTTAACTCTTGGGGAAAATTATCAGGGTTATTTACTAAAGTAAGAATGCAAAGTGAATTAAAAATTAATTTCAAATTTAAAGTCAAAATAGCCAAACTGGAAAAATTCTCTAATTCAGCTACAATTTCAGTTTGACTACTCTGGCCTTAAATTTTGACATTCACTTTAAATTTTCACTTTAGTTAATAGCTCTGAGTGTTTGTTTAGCTAAGCGAGTTGGAACTTTTTCCGCCATCCAGCTATTTTGCCGAAATATTTGCCATTCTCCATACATTTCTGGTTTGGTGAACCACCTTATTAGGGTCATTGAGTATACTGTGAGTTTTCAGGAATACATTAAGAATGGCAAATTTCAGGCCGAAGTAACTAAATTGGACAAATGTTCCTACTTAGCTATTTTTCCTGCTTAGCTATTTTGGCTGGACATATAATATAACAACACAACGTACTTTTGCTGTACTATAAAACCTGTGATCACAGGCATTGAGTTAAAAAATGTAGTTGCGTTATTAGAACATGTTTCTAGTCTGTCTGTTTTACCCTAACAGTTGTGTTTTCCACAAATTCACTAATAAGTGAGTAAACCTGTAAATAGAGATTTTATAGTTTCACCACCTAGTTTGCGTCACCTGTTTCGATCACCTGTTTTTGGAGACATATCACTTGTGTATGCAGATGGGCAGTGCATAAACAGCTAAGAAAATCAATCCAAAATGAAGATTTCACTATTGAACTCTTCTGATTAGTTGATTTATTTCCCTCCTACAGCATATGAATTCTTCATACAAGCACCAAGATAAAAAAAATTGGGGCTTCTGAAAATCCTAGCACAGGACTATATGTTTGTACCAATTAGTATTTCTTAAACCATTTGCTACTAAATAGAGATTTTCATGAACAGAAAAAAAAAAGCTTATTGAAATTTCTGTAATCACTGATTTGTATATTAATTTATTGATTTGCATACTAATTTTAATAACTGTCTCAAAATATTCCAATGGCGCAATATCCTCTCTGCTACGGTTCTGATAATAGTACATTTTTAAAAGTTAGCTTTCTAATTATTTAGGTAAAGTCATTTGATTCCTGCTTTAAATCTGATATTTTTCATGATCAGTTTTACACATACTCGATTTATTAAATATAATTGGTTTAATTGTTACATTTTACTGTATACTTATTTTCATCTTTAATTTAGCCTGACATAAAAATAAAAGATAATGTGCAAATTTGTGATCTGATATAATGTGATGGTACATGGACAGCAGTATATAAGTGACTTTTATTTGATAATACCATGTATGCCATCTATAAATACACCTTACTTATTGTTAATTGTTGCCATGTTGCTTAAATTATTTGCACAAGTTTCAAACAATGTAAATAATTGTATAAAATGTATATAGTGTGTTTACTAAGAAAATGTTGTTAAAATGCAACAATCAGCTCTGTTTTATGTATTGATATTATGCATTATTGCAACGAAACCATGCCATTTTTATAATATGAGATATTTCTTACTTTTTTGATATCAGATATACATTTCTATGGTGACAAAAGTTTGAGTGGGGACAATATAGTTTCTTCCCAGAACAAAATTAGAAAGTTAAAACTATTCGCTTTAAAAAATAAATAAAAATAAAAAAATGATACTTGATGATGCTTTTGGGCTTGATTAATTTTTAAATGTTTTAAATAAACTTGAATATCTACTGTCTAATATATCTGATCACTGTTTTATTACTTTTTTTTTAAATCAGCAAAACGGTTTTATATAAAGATCTGTTTATTGCATATGTCACTATTCACTGAATAGTGTTAATTGTAGTGAACTGAAAACAGAATTGCATAGTCAAGGCAAATATAGGTGATCAGCTATAGTCAATTCTTAGAACTCAGTTTTCAATTCACCAAATTTCAATTTTTAGTGAACAAGGCAGCCATCAAGAGAAAAAAATACTCATGCTGCATTGGGTGCTCTGGCTGGTAGTGGTATATCCTCCTTTGAGCTGCTACAGCCTTTTTATTTAATCTGGATGTGTGGAGTGAAAGTGTAAATCCTGGGAGCGAACATGCTCTGTCAGGACTATTTAGTTCACAGTCTAGTGCTATGAGTTCCAACAAGAGAGTTCTATCCACTCCCACTCCACATAGGACTTTGCTCCAAACACAAAGAGCCCTAACACTCCAAGGACTTACAAGACTATGCTACTTACTGAACCTTGCTACCAGAGACAATGTAGAGGGAAGAAGAAACTAACATTGTGATAGGCAAAATGGAGAGGACAGAAGGGTAGAATACTGGGAGATGGACACAAGTTGGGGAGATGGAAAGAGGGACAAGAGGAGGAGATATGAGGAGAGGGATACAAGTGAAGGAAGGATGGATATAGAGTAAGGAAAATAAGTTTTGGACTAGGTGATATAAGGAAAGAGAAGGGGGATATGTGCACATGTGGGTTTTTGGATTTGGGTTATCCCCATAGCAGACCCCTGGTAGGCTCAACACTATTGATCCCCTTTGAGAGACCTTATTTTGTTTATGTGCCCATACCAGATGCTCCAGAAACAGCCAAGCAAGACTCACAGCACTGGCTATTAAATTGAACTGAAACATAGAGAGGCTGAGACTTGGAGAATAAATGCCACATTTACCCAAGAGCCAACCACAGTTGCAGTGCAACAACATATTCACCCAGAGCTGAGACTGAACAGTACTGGAAGAACATCTGGGAGTTCAACACCAAGGCACGATGGCTACTAGACCTGAAAGCAGACCACTGCATGTTCCCAAATACACAATAGGAGATACCCAACAATGAGACGCCCACACGATGACTTGGTCAGCACCAGGACCTGACATTATCCACACCTACTGGATAAAAAAGCTAACAATGCTGCATGAATGCCTAGTTGCACAAATGAACCATTTACTAGCAACAGGCTCCCACCTAGTCATGAAGCAGCCTCTCAATCAAACAACACCATCTAACTACCGGGCAATCACATTTCTAGGACTTTCAAGTTCCACTTGTCACTAATCAATGCACTCCTAGTGAATATGCCATGGACCTTCCAGGCTTGCAGTGATAAGTGGCTTGCCTGACTAGTAGCATAGGTCTTAAAATATTAAGATAGATAGAAAGATAAGTAGATAGATAGATGTAGAAAGGTCTCCGTTGATACTGGGATTTGTAACTATAATATTACACATTTATTCTACTCAATAATCTATGCTTACATCAGTGACTTAAAATATCATCTATTTATTAAACAGTAAAATGGCTATACCATTGCTGCAATATAATCTGACATACAAGACTATTTCAATCTATCTATACTATTCTGTTAGCTGTATGTGTATAGTAAGAATGGTGAAGTCCCTGTTGTCTTGACATTGCCCAGTTTTCTTAAACTGCTTCCTATATAACACGTATATAGCCACACAATGAAGATAACCCCAGCCAATCAAATCCTGACTTTGTGTCCAGTCATCCCCATGTAGGCGAATTCAGTTACCTGTACTTATTAATATTGTTTACATAATGGCATGCCCCACCTTTATCTGACTTTGGAAGGCCCTTCAGGGCAATAACTGGGTGAATCTGCTTCATTTGAGATATTATCTCCTTCTTTCCTTACTTGTAGTTATTTGAGTAGAAAATCCCTTTAACAGTCTGTGTTTACAGTTGGTTGTTGTCAATTAGGAAAGATAACATCTCAGGCCGCACCTGCTGTTGTCCAGAGGGGGTTTAGATAAATGTGCTGAGGGCCAGCATCTGAATGTTGAGTTGGTCTGTGATATGCATCAGAAATGGTGTTAAGTTAGGAGAAGACCAGCAGAAGACTAATTGTTTTGCATCTTAACCCCTTCTTTACCATCAGCTTGACTTGATAATTCAACTGAAAAATTTTAAGTATATAACAATATATACCAAATATAAAGACGCTAGACCAAACATGCTAAAACGCCCAACAGTGCAAAAACAAAAATCACTGTTCTGCATCGTTTGCATAACTCAAGTTGCACTTTGAGCAGTCATTCTTGGGCATAGAAACTCGTTTCCAAAACTATATATTAATTGTATAGGTTGACAAAATACTAAAGTCCATCAAGTTTAACCTTGAAACCCATTCTTTTATGCTGTCCCAAAGTTTTAGGATGACATGCCAATGAGCACAGATAGGCATCATGTTTATAAAAAAAAATCAATATACATCATTTAAAAAAAATTCAGTTTCATTAAATGTAATGAACTTTTAAAAAGCAAGAAGTGAAAATTTGATGACAATTGTCCTTTAAAAAGTCAGTCTTACTCCCAGTTTTTTCTTCTTAGCTCATTATTGTGAGTAGCCCAGTGCTAAAATAAAGTTAAAATAAAGTAAATTTTTATGCCTACAGGTATGGAATTTACCATATGGCAGAGTAGGCGCCTGCTTACAGGTACATGACCACTAGGGGGCACTTGTTTTCAGCACTTGTAATGTGCCTTTTTTTTTTTTAGATTTAATAGGCTTGTGTTAGACATAAGTACCAGGATCCTTGGCCAGTGTCCTCTGTAGTCAAATCATCCTTAAAGGGTTACTCCAATGTCCATGACCACTTCTGTTTTTTAAAGTGGTCATTGTGAAAGGGGAGTCTTCCACCTCCATTCTGTCTTTCTTTAACCCCTTAGTGACCAGACCGCTTTTCCATTTTCTTACCGTTTGGGACCAAGGCTGTTTTTACATTTGTGCAGTGTTTATGTAGTAACCATATACTTATGAAAAGTAAACACCCTAGGGTATTTAAAATGGTGGTATTTTTTTTAAATTTATTTTTTATTTTTTTCAGTGCATGTAAGGGTAACATACAGGCATGTGGTACCCCAACTGCAGTCCACTTGCATATTTCAGAACATCGATAACAGTGGGGTATATAGGAACAGTGCACAAATTGTATATTTAAATACAAGAGGGTCAAGTTTGGAGCATGCTAGTTAGGTATAAAAGTCATGAGTTTGTCAGGCTTAAGGATATAGCTAAGGCATTGAAGGCAGTGTTGAATGTCAGGCTTATTTTATGTACAGGGTAATGTCGCCATAAAACATGTTAAGCCTCGCCGTCAACACCTAAACACGATTGTATGTTAATATAAAGTTGCTTGGAATCTAACCTTGGGTTAAAATGGTGGTATTTTAACACTTTCCATGCAATAATTCTACCACCAGTCTTTGTCAAACATCTGGGTAGTCATTTTGTTGTGTTATTTTTCACACACATTGTACTTTAGGCATAGATTATCAGCTCCTGTTATGTGTTACTGCCAAAGAACAACCCAATATGTGTTCAGCAACATCTCCTGATACCACCCATGTATAGGTGTGTTGGGTTTTCTAGGGGTTAAAAGACCTTATTTGGAGGGTGCGCATTCCAGTTTTCCAGCTTGTAATTTTCACAGCTGGTAATCATGCATCCATGAAGCCAGTGAATGTAATTTACCTCCATCAAACCAACACACAGTGCTTTTTGACCCTGATTTAGGAGAGCCTGTTGTTGGTTATTGCAGGAAAACACTCCAGGTTGTTTTCTGCAAGGCCTAATGAGTACACCTATGCCCCCCATGCGTAGGTTTGCCAGGATTTTGGGAAGGTTCAGTTACAACTGTATGACTTGTAGTTTGAGTTGAAATTGAGAGTATTTCTTCTGATAGGCCTATCTTTAGTTTGGGGCCTATCCAGTGGTGTATCCTGGTTTTGTGCTGCCCTAGGCAGGACAAAACTCAGGCACCACCCCCTCCCCGCGCGTGACCCCCACCCATCCCTTCCCCCCGCCCCGCCTTCTAAATACACACACACACACACATTCACTGACAGATACGCATACACTAGCTAACAGAAACACACACTCACTGACACACACTCACTCACTAGCAGACACACACTAGCAGACACACACACACTCACTGACACACACTCACAGGCAAACATACACACAGTCAGACACACACACAAACAAACAAATACACTCACTCACTAGCAGACACATACACTCACTGAAACACACACTCACTAACAGACACACACACTCACAGGCAAGCACACACTCACTAACAGACACTCACTAACAGACACACACTCACTAGCAGACACACACTAGCAGACACACACACTCACTGACACACACACAGGCAAACACACTCACACTAACAGTCAGACACACACACACTCACTAACAGACAAACTCACTAACAGACACACACACTAACAGACACACTCACACACACTAACAGACACACACACACTAACAGACATACACACACTAACAGACACACACTCACTCACATTAACACATTTATTTTTTTTAACCCCCCCCCCCCCAGCCTCCTTACCTTTGGGAGTGCTGGGGGGGAAGGGGTTCTCTATCTCCCTGGGGGTCCAGTGGCTGCTGGGCGGGCGGCTGGCGAGGGAGCACTTCCTCTGAGCGGTCTGCTCAGCTCCTTCGCGCGCCGCAGAGTGAGGCTGGGAGCCGGAATATGACTCACAATAGGTGTCCATGTATCTGCCTGCAGGGGCCTACCTGTGCTGACAGGCAGTCTCCCTTCTAGTGTAAAATAAAAAAATAATATAAAAGTTAATGTTAATTAAATTTTTTTTATATATGCGTATATAAATATGATATATAGACATTTATTATATCTATATAATATATGTCTATATATCATATATATAATGTCATACTAAGTGTATTTTTATATTAATATATAGATATATTAATATAAAAATACACTTATAATTAAATTATACACGTATATATATATAATATATAATATATATAATATCTATATATATTGTGTATATATATATATATATATATTATAAAATACAAATAATAAGTAATTTAAATTAAATAAAAAAATGTAAAAATAAGAATTTAAAAAAAAAATTATATATCTATATGAAATTTTATTCTAACTGTGTTTTGATATTAATATATGTATTTATATCAAAATACACTTAGAATGAAATTGTATATATATCTATGTATATATAAATAAATAAAAAAATACAAAATATACATCTGTACATATACAAAATTACATAAATAATTATAGAAATATACTCGTAGACTTCAAATATATAAATATGCTTATATATTTAAATTCTACGTGCGTATTTATGTAATATTTTTACATAATTAATTAATTTTATTGATTGCAATTTGAGGGACCTGCCTGCCAACCCAGGCTGAAAGTCCAGAGAATTTTATTTGCTAGCACTGTATTTTACCCTGTAACGTTCTACGACACCCTAAAACCTGTACATGGGGTGTACTGTTTTACTCGGGAGACTTCGCTGAACACAAATATTAGTGATTCAAAACAGTAAAACATATCACAGCGATGATATTGTCAGTGAAAGTTACTTTTTTTTGCATTTTTCACGCACAAACAACACTTTTACTGATGATATAATTGTTGTGATACATTTTCCAGTTTTGAAACACTAATATTTGTGTTCAGCAAAGTCTCCTGAGTATAACCTTACCCCTCATGTACAGGTTTTATAGCATTTTTTAAAGTTACAGGGTCAGATATATGGGTCAAATATTTTTACATTGAAAATGGCCAGGTTGGTTACGTTGCCTTTGAGAGTGTATGGTAGCCCAGGAATGAGAATTACCCCCATGATGGCATACCATTTGCAAAAGAAGACAACCCAAGGTATTGCAAATGGGGTATGTCCAGTCTTTTTTAGTAACCACTTAGTCACAAACACTGGCCAAAATTAGCGTTCAATTTAGTTTTTTACTTTTTTCACACAAAAACAAATATGAACGCTAACTTTGGCCAGTGTTTGCGACTAAGTGGCTACTAAAATAGTCTGGACATATCCCATATTGAATACCCTGGGTTGTCTTCTTTAAAACAAATATGCACATGTGGGGTGTTATTCAGAGATTTATGACAGATAATAGTGTTACAATGTCACTACTGATAAATTTTAAAAATATATGTTTTGAAACCGCAATATCCTACTTGTACTTATAGCCCTATAACATGCAAACAAATAACAAAAAAAGCATGTAAACACTGGGTATTTTTAAACTCAGGACAACATTTTTAAACTATTTAGCAGTTTTTTTTCATTTGCTTTTGTAGATGAGTAAAAGATTTTTCACGTAAAAGTCAAAAAACATGTATTTCTTTCAATATTTCATCATATTTTTAAATTTTTTAAAAATTAAATTACATGAAATTATATAAATAAGGGTATGTAAAGAAGGCCCCTTTTGTCCTGTAAAAAACAATATATAATTTGTATGGGAACAGTAAATGAGAGAGCGGAAAATTACAGCTAAACACAAACACCACGAAAGTGTAAAAAGATGCCTGGTCGTAAATGTACAACATCGCAAAAACATTCCGGTCCTTAAGGGGTTAAAGGACTAGTATTTCTTTCCTTCTTAACAAATGTACATTGTGACGTAGGTAGGATCACGTTTGTCATTGTTGCTTCTACGGAGTTCTATGTAGAACGTAACGCTATTCTGGTATGTGTGCCTTGACATTTCACCCCAGCAAAATAAACAAAATGTTTGATATTGTTAATGAAGATAATATAATCAAGGCTTCGGTGGTCCTTCATTTCTACATACCTGTGATATGTGAGAGTGTTGATTTCCAAATGACCTTAAAGGACAGTGTATATGGAAGTTCAGCAATGCTGACTATGACAGTCACCGGTTGAGAAAGCCTGCTTTCGTCATTCTACTGTGAAGACACTCTATGCTTCATTAATATATACGCACAATACCTATTCAATTCTCAGCTGCTCATGAGTTAAACCTTGAGTGTTAAAATAACAGAAAAAAAATCAACCTACCATAGATATATTCAAGGTCAACTTTAATATTCTGTTCATCTGTTCTTCAGTTGGATTGTACACAGAACACAAGGTCATCCCAATGCGAAAAAAGGATAAGATTTTTTACCTTCAGTCACAGAAACAGGACCTCTACAATAAGCATAGTAAATAATATTCACATCCTGAAGAGGTTGCCTTGGAAAACCCAGTTAAGAAAATATTGAACTGCATTTAGTAAAAAAAATAGACTTAAAATACTATCTCTTCTGCAAATTCTGTAACAAATCCATTCTCCCTCCGTGTTCAAGCTGGCAGTGTCCAATTAAATGTTTCTCACATGGGGTTCTTCACTAAAATCACAATGGCCCCATGGCAAATGGGGCAAAACCACCAGCTGCATATGGACTTTTGGACGGCAAAATCCTGCCATTGTTTACACGAATTAACAATGTCTGTATTATGTAATTCTGGTCCTGACTTTGGTCTAAACTTCTGGATCGAACACCGCCGGGCAGCTGAAATCATTACCAAATGCTTCAAATCCAGGCTCGGATTTTAACAATTTAAGTTATTTGCCTACTGGCAGATTGCTGACCCCACTCATGGCCAGCAGGTGGGACTATTTAATACAATAATTGGGGGGACAGGAAACATTCTCATGTTCCCCTCACCCAGCCTTTGGTCAGTATTTGGGGCTATTATAATTTAAGGTGGTTTGGAACTTAGTGTCCCACCCAGCTCACACTCTTTAGTGCTGGGTGGGAGCCCTAATATTAATATTTCGGAAGGCGAACCTGCCCTAGTAGTATTTTATTTTTCTGCTGTTTCCCTCAGTAACACTTGTGCTGTCTTTGAATTTATTATTTAATAATAGTACTAGTGAGATGACCCTTCCTTCTCCCCCTACTCACTTCCTTGACCCACTTTGGTACGCTATATCCCTTTGCCTTTTGTCTGATAAAGATGCAGGTGGATTTGCATCAGTGGCAGTGGAATCTTTCACAACACTAGCTTCTACACTAGCACTTGGTTGACTAATGCTAGTGGGATGGGAGGTGGTGCTGTTAATAATAATCCCACTGAGTGCGCTACTTCTTGGACTCATAGGAGAGGATGCTCCAACTGTTTCAATTAAATGAGGTAACTATTTTATCTCTCTTCCTTAGCCCTAAGTCATCATACATCCCTGCATGAAGGCCTTTTAATTTTACTTGGCTCAACCCACCTACCCTCCTGCCCACCCTGGTTCTTTCTAACTATATAGCATGCTCTTCCAGCTGTTTGGAACCATAGCCAATCACCTCCTCATTCCCTTCACATGCTATCAGCTGCTGCAGTTATACTATTAACTCTCTTTGCTATCACATACAAATCCCTCTGCTACCTTTTGTCTCATCTCCCCAGTTTAACCTTAGATTGTAAGCTTACGGGCAGGGCCCTCTACCTGTTCTGTCGGTCTGTTCTTATAGTGTTTGTCTTTTTCCCAATTGTACAGCATTGCAGAATTTGTTGGCACTTTATAAATACCAGTAATAAATAAAATAAATAAATAAATTCTACTGCAGAAAGAGATTGACTAAGACATAGTGATGAGGGCACAATAGGTGCAGAACATAGTGGACTGCTGCCTCTGCAGACTATTCTCTTGTAAAGCCTCTGTATAATAGTCGATTTCCTCTTGGGACAGACCAAAACAAATGTCTGGAGTGGTGAGGGAAAGAGCAATATTATCATCACTGGATTCCTCACCTACAAGTCCAGATATTGGGGACACTACTTGGATACTCTGCTCTTGCTCTGATTTCACAAATTCTCTGATGAGCTCTCCCATAATTGCTTCTTGGCAGAGGCGTAACTAGAAATCACGGGGCCCCAGTGCAAAATTTGTCCTGAGCACCCTCCTATACATCTACCTCCTACCCCACACATCCCCGCCCCCCCCACACACATGCAGACACATACATATAGACATATACACACGTACACTCACATACACTCACAGACACACACACACTCAGACACACTCACAGACACACACACACACTCAGACACACACACTCACAGACACACATACAGTTACAGACACACACACACTCAGACACACACACTCACAGACAAACACATACAGACACTCAGACACACATGCACTTGCAGACACATACACTTATAGACACACACACTCACTCACTCACTCACTCACAGACACACATACACACAGACACACTGAGACACACATACACTTACAGACACACTGAGACACACATACACTTACAGACACATACGCTTACAGACACACAGACACACACAGGCACACACATACACACACTGAGACACACATACACTTACAGACACACATACACACTCAAACACACACACTCAGACACACATACACTTACATACACATACACATTCAGACACACACATACACTTACAGACACATACATACACTTACAGACACGTACACATTCAGACAAACACATACACACAGACACACACAAATTATTAATATTAAATGTCCAACCAGCCTCCCTACCTGGAGAGCTGGCATGGATCTGTTCCTGGAGTCCAATAATACTACTAATGGTGATGGTTGAGGCAGAGGTGGAGGTTGGAGGTTGTGTCAGCAGCTCTCGTGAAGAGAATGACATATTTATATTCTCAGAGGCCATGGCACTACTGCTGATGATGAATTGCTGAAAATGACTCTTTTCCCTACTCTTCTTCAACTTCTTCTTGGGATTAGGATGCAACATTGATGATGGCATTTTTTTTCTTATTACAATAAGTTTGGGATATTTGGGGTGTATTGTGTAAACTAACACAACTTTATTTTGTAAATATAGGTGTTTGGATTGGTGCTTGGTGACTTTAATACTACAATTGCACAGCACACACTTTACTGAACACACTCAGAAAAAAAGGATTTTCTTTCTAGAAACATTTAACAGCAAAACTGTCAGACTGCAAATAGAATAGACTGTGATGGCAGATAAGAACCATTCAGCCCATCTAGTCTGCCCAATTTTCTAAATACTTTCATTAGTCTCTGGCCTTATCCTATAGTTAGGATAGCCTTATGCCTATACCACGCATGCTTAAACTCTCTCACTGTGTTAACCTCTACCACTTCAGCTGGAATGCAATTCCATGCCTCCACTGCCCTCTCAGTAAAGTAATACTTCCTGATATTATTTTTAAACCTTTGTTTCTCTAATTTAAGACTATGTTGTTGTGGTAGTTTTTCTTCTTTTAAATATAGCCTCCTCCTTTACTTGATTGATTCTCTTTATGTATTTAAATGTTTCTATCATATCCCCCCTGTCTTGTCTTTCCTCCAAGCTATACATGTTAAGATCCTTTAACCTTTCCTGGTAAGTTTTATCCCGCAATCCATAAACCAGTTTAGTAGCCCTTCTCTGAACCCTCTCTAAGGTATCAATATCCTTCTGAAGATACGGTCTCCAGTACTGTGTACAATACTCCAGGTGAGGTCTCACCAGTGTTCTGTACAATGGCATGAGCACTTCCCTCTTTCTCCTGCTAATACCTCTCCCTATACAACCAAGCATTCTGCTAGGATTTTCCTATTAGTGACTTCAAACTGGTGTTAAGTGGCATTGCTGGCAGTAGGAACCTGCACCAGCCATAACCACCAGTCTTACACTAGGATGAACGAAGCAGACTATCTATTGCTCAAGGTTTGTTTGAGTATCACTATGGCAGTGACCAGACAAGAGCAATTTAAAAAAAAAATAATATACCAGCACATTGCTCCTCGCAAAACTGTATTTGCTTTCCTAGAAACACTTAACAAAAAGTACCTTTCAAACTGTAAATTGGTGATTTCAAGTTCATGATTAATTTGTAAATTGGTGATTCCAAGGACACTGCACTAACCATTACCACCTGTCTCACATTAGGATGAATGAAGCAGACTATTTACCACCTAAAGTTTGTGTGAATGCAAACGTGGTGAAACTTGGCAAGAGGACTTTAAAAAAAATAAAAATGTTTCTTTTTACTGAACACTCCTTGCCCAAAATACTTTCTTTCTTCTGTTAACAAAAAAAACTTTAAAAAAATCCAAGAATCAATGACACAATGGCAATCACCAGTCTTCCACTCACAGTTGCTTTAAGTGCCACTGGCAATAGCTATATTGCTAGGTTGCCCAATGCTGGTCTTGTTTCTAACTTTGGCCTTAATTTAAAAAGCCTTCAAAACGATTCAACAATGTTGGGAAAAACTCAAATAATTTATCTACAAAAATCCCATAAACTTTACTGGTGACTTTGTTGGATAAAACATTTGGAAAGCTTATCTCACAGTACTGAATACTTTGCTCTTACTTACTTAAGCTTACTATAACAAGGCCAATGTTCGAAACACGTTCTTAAAGTAGGGACAGACAGCCTTAATGTTACTGACTACATTTCCCCTGATGTTTTGCTAGCATTCAGACTGTATGAACATCATGTGAAATGTAGTGCACAACCTCCATAGTACCAAAGTTTGTCTACCCCTGCCTTACAATATGTAGCTATAAGGATACATTGTGCATTTTCCATGGTTTTATAAGTATATGTGGATGTTACACAAACTTTTCATATGGTTTGAAGTTATAGTAAATTCCTCAAGGGTATGTAATTTAGGATTTGTGTTGTCAAGACATGCATTTTCCATACAAAGTCTGCAGCACGTCCATACCATAACCATGGAGGTGTTTGTGATTGTTGTTTCCAAATTATGTGAAATTTGTTCACGGAAGTAAAGTAACATTGTTTCTTTGAAATTGAGATTGAGGCACACTGGGCACACTGAAATTGAGATTTCTGGTCACACTGGGTTTGAAACACACTTAGTAAGCATAATTACTATCAATTTTAGTCTGTGACATACTTATTAGATACAGCGGGTTGGCCTAGGTACCAACATCTCGAATTTGCCTTGACAGTCCCACATTTTGTGGTAGTGTCCCAGCAAATTTATGTCCCAGAGACATGTCTCTCATTTTGAAATCTGCTGACAGATTTTAAAATGCAGGAGGGGACTTGAACATTTTGTTGGATTTCATGCAAGCGGAATTTCAAAATAGCAGGCCACGAAAGTCATCTGCCCGATTTCCCAGGTGGCAGAGGGAGCTTCTGTTACCATGATAGAAAGGGAACCCTTTAAGCAGCTGATACAGGCCCTTGCTCCGCCATATGTACTTCCCTTGTAATTAACTTTCAGCAGGAACATATGGGGTCGTTCACAATGACCCGAACTGGATGGGGCAATACCATTCCGACTGCTAAATCCAGACATTTGCTGATGGAATTCATCAACATCAGAATTTTGTAAATCAGGCCCTGAAAAGCACTACCAGAACAATTACTTGAGCAAAGTGCTTCCACAAGTCAAACTTCATGATGTGCTAAGACATCATTGGTCCTAATAGATCTTATTTTAAATGAAATGTCCAGCATGATGGTTTAAAATAATACTTTTAAGAGTTTATTCATGGAAAGTCACTGCTAATGTTTGACAGGGCTTTGCTTTACCTGCTTGTTCTACCATTTAGCCAGTATAATTCATTTAAACGAGAACACAACCATAATTCATATATCAAATTATCTACAAATGATGATTATAAAAAATAAACAGGGACACTTCTATGGCAAAATAGCAATCTAATATTAAAAAAAAAAATAAAGTGAGAATGTTGTTCTGATACAGAATTATTACACTGTGATATAAATACAAATTACAGAAGCACAATACAGAGCAGTACAGAACGTTCTACATTCCTATTCCTTCCTTAAATAAATATTAGGCATGTTTTATTTTTCGCTAAGGCATCATACTTAGTAATGCAGTAACAGAATTTTTTTTTTACAAAATTCTTATTTAATGATAAATTATAAATTCACAGATTTTAATAAATATTTTACTTAAATACGTCTGAGTGCAAATTGCTTATTCATTTACAATTTCAACAATTAGCAACTAGCTGATAGTTGAAACGTAAAGGAAACTGTTGCTTTAAGTTTTCGAGATGCTCCCATTCCATGCACAGATTTAAAGAGTGCCTGTCACACTGCTACTTTTTACATACTCTAATTCTATAATAAAACTGTATATTTTTTTTTTAATGACATTAACCGTTTTAAAGTTATACTTAAGGTAAATTCTATTTGCAAACAGACAATGTAGAGACACATGCCCTGCATACATGTACAGATTGCAAGTTAACACATGCATGTCGTTTTGCAAGCAGCTCTACTAGGGGTCTTATAAGTGAAAATCTGGCAGATGATTAATGGCAAAGAACAAAATACACTTTATAGGACACTTTAGCACCAAAACAACTACATATCAATGCGGTGGTTTTGGTGCATAGACACTGTCTATGTAGGTAACAGCCATATTTCTATTTACATTTGTCTATAAGGATGTCTGACAAACTGCCACTAAAGGCATTTCCTCGTGGAGACTGTCAACCCAACAGAGAAGTGTTGGATCCAATACTTCTTTATGAGAAGCATCTGATTGGCTGAGCATGGTGATTGTTGCTCATGCCCAGTAGGTCCTTAATGCATGGATGATCTCAATGACGGATGAGTGGCTGCATGTCAGAGACCCACCAGAACTGTTTCTTTGGAGGGCAACATGTATGCCAAGTAACACTAACATTAAAAATAAGTATGTTTTTTTATTTTAGAATGTCCCTTTATTTATCTCTGTAAAGCAAAAATATGTTGCTTAGCTATTACTTTGCAATGGCTAATAACATATTTAATTTACTACAATTTGGTGTTTATTGAATAACCCTGCCTGGCTTTATTCTTGATTTTGTGTGTATATCCTCAACTGCCTTGAATGCTTTGCCTGTTTTAGCCTCTAACACCTTATATCCATAGTGACATTGTGACAGGCCTACTTTAATATATCTGCTACATCGCACAACAAAAATGGGAGATCTGTACGTCAACAGGAAAACAAAGTTAAAGTTTTCTGAGCATATGAAATGTGCAACTAGATAAGACATATACATTCACAAGGGATTCGATCACACTGTCATTAACATTGTTGCATATTTTTCTAGTATACAAATAGTAAAGATTTTCATGAGCTAGTTGGGGGGAGGTATTTACTAAAAGCAGAATTTTCTGCTACATTTGGAAAATCTGGGATTTTCAATTAAGACTTCGCAATATTTACTATCATTTTAACCTAGAAAAATAATAAGATATGATAACTTTTCTATCATACGCCGGTAATGACCTCTCCTATGGTACTTCACCATCATAATACAGTATAGCGTTTTTCATATGTGAATTATCATCATATGATTTATGAATCACAAAAACGTGAAATGCATTAGGCATCTTTAGGACCTTAGTATCCACATTCCCAAAATACTGTTCCAGGACTGCAAACACGCCAACTTTTCAATACAATACTTAGCACGTTTCCTTGAAAAGGTTGTTTGAAAAAAACAAAAAATATTAACTAAATAAATTCTAGAGCTTTGGCAAAATTCTGAAACTCGAGAAATGCATTTGACACAGTTTCTTGAAAAAAACTTGGAACACATGTGGGTTTTTACTTTTTTTATGAAAAGTAGTGCTCATAGTGGCCCTAATTTATGATGCCCACAAAAGCCACATATTTTATCTTAATGACATGCTCTTAGGCAACATTATTATGCCAGTGCAGAATTGCACTTTTGTAGTAATTAAAGTTTATTATAGCCATCTTTGGTATAAAAGTTAAAAGTAAAAACATGTATGAATCAAGGGTTCTCAAAACTCTTTCTTTAAATTAACTTGTACATTTCTATTAATCAACAGAGTATATATCATTGTCTATGTGTTGTATTAAGCCATTAAAACAATCTGCCATTTTTATGGTATTTATAATAATATTATTTTTACTATCAGCTAATTAAAGCTGATACAGGCCTAGACTAGTGCACGAATCACATTCAGCTTTACTGAACTAATCAAATGCCTGTTAAATTGATTTGTAAACAATTAATTAACATCAATTTGTTCACGGTTTAAAAAAACAAATCAATTTGTTTGTCCAGTGATTAACAGGCATTTGATTCGATCAGCACAGCTGAACGGGATTAGTGCACCACTCTATTTAGCCCTTCTCATTCCATAGTCTTTTTAATATAATTTACTTAAATGATATAGTTATAAAACATATAACTAACCAGTGTTGGTAGAATAAAACACATTACGTATGATTACAAGTATAAAGAATTAATATTAGACAAGGGAATGGAGGCCAAGTGAATTATGACACATATAATGGGCCTGATTAATTCAGAAATGGCAAATGAATATGTAACATTAAATACATCTTTAAACCTGTTGGTTTATTAAAATATGTTAATGCAACAGATAGACAATATTTTATACTCTGAAGTGGAGTTTTTTTAGTTTTTCTTTGTTTGCTTGTTTTAGGTGGCAGATATACTTGTATTATAAAACAATCATGCTCTCTAAACCATGCTTACATCTGCTAAGCGAAGACAATGCTTTCTATATTCTGTGTCAAAAAACATATCTCCTCGTCACAACAAAGTCCCTATATTTTAGCTATATCTGTTGCATTGCATCTTGTAAAAATAACAATCTTTCATCTTTCAGACATTTGTATCTGTTTTCACCCAGTCTTGTACAAATCAAGCCCGGAAGACATGGGCAGGTGTGGTGCAGTCTTTTTCCTAAAAACGGAACCTAAAACAAAAAAAGACAAAAAAAATAATCAATTAACATTTGTTTGTCACATATTCTAGAAGTTTGAATACCAGTTAGAAAACACATCCATCATTTCTTGTCTGTCTATCTATATTCTATTTGGAAATTGGAAGAATTCCATTTTCACATCTTTGATATCTGACATCTTTTTCCACTGTTTGCAACTATGAAGGTGATAACAACTGCTGGTTCCACTGAAATTTACATGGATGCTTTTTTTGTCTTAAATGCATAAACCTGAAGAGAGCTTGCAACCTTTGGCCTAGTGGGCTAGTATAAATAATGGCCTTTCTTGCACACGAATTTCACAGATCTCTGTGTGGATAATATGATATAATATGTGGATAATATAAACAGATATAAAACATGAAGGCTGCTGGAGTTGCAAGGTATGCTATCATGCTGTATATGCCTGTAACCTCCATCAGTAGTACCTGCATAGAATGAAGGAGCATTCACAGAGCTTAGTTGAAGCACAAATGACAACCACAATATGTTATGAATGTCATGACTACTGTCTCGTCCTACCCTGAAGTCTGTGGAAAATACTTCCAGAGATATTAATATGGCATCCTACCCTGAAGTCTGTTGAAAATACTTCCAGAGATATTAATATGGCATTCTGGTAAGGCTTAGATACCACAATCCACAGGATATAATCGAGGTGAGGAGAGCACCAAGAGCATCAGCTCTTGGACCAAATCCACACAATGCTGGGCTAGCAAAGGCCCTTTACTAATCCTGTTCGCTGCCTTCCTCATGTGCAAATATCTCAACACACCCCTCTGTTTTCATTTTCAGAAGAACTGTTTGAGACTGCAGCCCCCAACCCTCTTGCCAGCTAACCCATGCTAGTGGCCAGGGTGTCAATATCCCCCAACCCCCCTTGCCAGCCCTCCCATGACTGAAAAGTATATAGGATTCTCAGACATCCAAATAACAAATTGAAGTAAGTAGATCTAGTTCTTAATTTCTCTACCAGGTTCTAATATCAAGTTGAGTTGATACTGTAATGAAGAGGTTGTTTGTAGAGACTGAAGAGTTCTCCTCAAGTGAAAGGTTAGTTTTAAAAGTTGGAAGTTGTGAATCAATTGTTGCACACAACCCCTCCCTCCACCATCCATATTCTGATGTCTTTATGTACATATTTCTCCTCTGGTAGAATTTACATAAAAATCATGCAAACTATAATACTAAAGATAAAGATATTACGGGATACTCACTCTGTGACTTAATGGATGACACTCGTCGTCTTCACCACCCAGAGGTGTACACACCCGAATGCTTCTTATCCAAAGGCTGACAGCGCAGCAAGTCCTGTTTCTACACTGTTCATCCTTGTCACAAACCTATACATCAACAGTAAAAAATACTTATTATATACAGACAGAAGTACAAAAATGTAATTGAGTAACATCACGTGAAGTCCTGTTGACACCAGAAAGGATATAACAGATAGGAAATAGATAACAAAAATATGGTGACGAAAATCGCATGTGCCCATGATGTTATTACTAATAGTTACAGTATACATTTATGAAGCATTGTTTTCCAAAATAACAGGATTTTTGACACGTTTTACACCAGGAATTCCTTAACCTGGTTACTGAAAATCAATATGGTATGTGCATTATTTCCTAATTATTGGCAAGCAAAAAAGAACGATTATGGTTTAATTAAATAATTTAGGCTGTCCTTGCCACTGCTCTCCTCTCAGAAAGAATGCCACCACTATATAAACTCAATATAATATTATTTTATATTTTCAATATCAGCTTCCTTTTCTTTGCAAGCACTGATCCATATACTTGGATGGTGTACCTCTATGTTTTGTTAGATGGTTGTCAGGTGGATAGTCCTAGTATTAACACAGAGGGATAAAAGACCCATTATTTAATTTAGTTTATTTTTACGAGCCAATTTTGTAGTTTGTTTAATGATTCGTCCATATATCGTTTTGGATTTCGCGATTTCGGATGAACCACCAATCACCAAAAATTTGTCCCAAGCACAATTCTATACATAAATTTATATTCTTTTTGCAAAACAGGTAAACATAGCAAAATTCAAAATATACAGAGGACACTTGCACGGCAAAGCAAATAATTTATATGCGAAGGAATAGTTTGCATCACCTTCAGACAATCAAGGAACAAACTAGAAAGAAGACTGTAGCATATAAACACACCATGAATTTGGACATGATACAAGTGTACTCTTATGACACACATTTCTCCTGTTTCAAAGTGTTCTACTGTAAGGGAGCAGGTTGTAACAATTAAGTGAGAGTTATAGACGAAACTATTTACAAACCTGCTTTATGGGAAGTTAATTTGCATAAAATAATGATAATACTTGATTTCCGTCACAAGGGAAAGAAATATTTCACTTTATCAATAGTGTTTCCTGAATACGTGCAGAAACAACTTACATTTAGAGTGGATTTGCATGAGTAAAAATAACGAAATTATAATAAGGTGTCAATTGTTACGTAATGGACATATTGTATACCTCATTTTTATTTTCAAAAGATGACATTAAATATGCTTTTTAAGAAATGAAAATTGTGATTTTTTTTTTCTTTCTTTTTCATCTTTCATTTACCAATAATGTAGTAGCTATAACAGTTAAGTGCAAATCGTAAAATAGCATTATTTTTTAATATGTTGCCATAGATCTGTATTGTCAGTTCAACACATATGGATTACAAAATAAAATATGAATGTATTAAAGTAACATTCAATTTGAATTCTTATGTGATGACTGTATCTGTATGATTAGAGAACTGATATTAACCATAACATTTTTTTCATGCCTTGAAAACACTGGAGCAGAACATTTGGTTAATATATTAACTTAACGTGTGCAGTTGGTGGGATTTTGACCCTTATTATTATGATGATGATTCATGGTTGCAGTTTTAGAAGTACAAGAATGCCTTCTCATATTTGAAAGATTTGCACAATAATGGCTCTACATCTTTAAAAGAACCTGGACTTAAGGAAAGGTGTAATCATACACATTTCTGCTTTTACTATTTAAAAACTGTGAGTAGTTGTTACTGTGCCATCCTGCTGGAGCATGTCCTTGGTTTTTGTGATGTCACGGATATTTCAATTTGTCATGTGGGCCTGAATCACCTGAGTCACACATACACGTTTCTAGAATTCCTAGGGTTCTGACACTGATTGGCTAGGTCAATGTCACCCCTGGAGTGGGCACGGGAAAAGCAGGTAAGTATAAATAATAAATCATATTTACCTGCTTTCTTGGTCTGTAGAAAAATAGACAACTATCTTATTCAAACCTAAAACGTTTGAATGAGACAGTTGAAGTGGTGCGTGTCCCTTTAAGGACATGATTTGCCAGGACAGTGGAAATATCATAGGATTTGCCTTATTCCTTATCCTAAAGGGTTTAAAAAATATTCTTCTACTCAAAATGTAAGTGGAATGTTTAAAAATGTATAAAACACTCCAGGGGGCCAGTTTAATTTCTGTCAAGTGTGTATTTGGAGTCATCGAAAGTATAATATTATATGTCTTGATTCTAACACCACTTTCATCGTTACATGTAAAACAGCTTCTTGAACCTTACAGCTACTCTTGCATGAACATCATCGCCCAGCTCAGTCTTAAGACAGGTGAATACTATGGTTTTACTATGTATCTTCTCTCTGAGAATGGAATGGTTGGGAACCTATACAAAATGAATCCAGAAGCATAGGGCTTTTTATTATTAGGGAATTGTCAGACAGACCACACGCAAGAAACAGATAACAAGGGGTTTTATACAATAGCTTTGGATTTGTAAATAAATCACAAGGAATAACAAGGCCAAAAGAAACCAAGAAAAAAAAATACCAGAGTTGTAGAATTTTTTTTTAAGATTGTCACCTTTGACACATTGTTTGTTTTTTCTTTGTCAAATCTCCATATTAACCAACTTAACAAAAAAAAATGTAGTTTGCTAACAAAACAAATTGAAAATGACAGCCCCACTTAATATGATTCTGTAAATAAAACTAGTTTTGCCATGTTATGAGTGCACAGAAAGTCTTCAATGTGACCAGTGGTATATTTTACACAGATATTTGTACTGTAATTAGAATGTTACAAAACAGGCAATCTATGAATTTAGGTATGTTACTTATGCCTGTAGTGATTGCTAAATCCAAAGGTAGTTCTTTAAACACACAGAACACTATAATTACCTGCTATTCCATAAAAAGAAATATTGGGAAATTTGAATTAACTGATCAGAAAGTGTCAGGTCAGAAAAATAACATATAATCACAAAAATGTAATATTGGGCACTATATATATATATTTCTACAATTACATTTGGGTGCAGCAGATTCTTTACAGAATGATTTTATTGGAAATGTTGCTAGCTTGTTAAAAACTTGCAATAACAAATGGGCTAAAAATAATATTATTTATGGATTTGGATGTCATCATTTCAAGTTATAAAAACAAATATTTTTATTTTATATTTTAATTCTAGTGTATTAAATTGATCACAAGGTGGCTTTGTCAATTTGCAAAGGACATATACCATTGTAGGTGTGAAAGGGTTCCTATGTCATTAAGTGTTTTGTCAGATGGAAAAGCCAACCTTGTTGTGCTTCACTGACAGACAGAGGGATAGCTAGTTCATGTCTTTGAGAATAATTAATCAAGGTTACTAGTGTAGGAGCAAGTTCTACAGCTACATCACATTCTGATCTTTTATCGTCACCAGTAGAAAAAACAAGTAAAATTGGAATCTACTTAAAAAAATTCTAGAGTTACCTCATACAGTTTTTGAATTAGAAAATAGACTAAATGGTGTTAAATTGTGTAGTCTAATCTCTTAGCAAAGCTACCCTGCTGTCCCAAATAACATATTTTTGAGCTATCTTTGTATTATTGACATAGTTTGTAAAGTCAGTCATCAACAAACTGATTGTATTTTTTGTCAATAGGTTTATATTGTTTTAGGGTTTATTTTGCAGCAAATCACCCAAATAAGATATATGTATAAGTAACGAGGAGTACGATTAGAAATCCATAAAAACACCATAACATTTTGTTGTTAGCAAGCATATGTTTGGTGCAATAAACATTATAAAATTATTTCAATCCAAAAAGATTGACTTCTAAACAACATCAAGTCTAAAAAAAAAAAAAAAAAGAGTGGCGGGATCAGCGTGATTCTCAAATGGCCTCCAAAAGGGTCTACGTTTACAAAATACATTATAAAATAGCAAAATTCACCTTTATTTAAATTTTAACAATATAAAACGCACATTAAATCTACAAAGACAGCGACAAGTCTAAAAGGACAACAAAATAAATAAATGAATGTAAAAAAATAATCGCACTGTCTGGGGGAGAGAGAAAGACAGTTCATTGGGCCCTAAAGCGCCCTTGGGACACTTCACTACAGAGATTCCAATTTATTTATCTATTTATCCCATCAGCCAGAGTATAGAATTTTTGTGTTTTAACTAGTTGAAATACCTTTTTCCATTTTTAGTTGGTGTAATAGTTGTGCCTTAATTAAATGCCAATCAGGCTTAAAAGGGATTTTACACTGTCTAGTTATGACAATTTTCACAGCTGTTAAAGCGTGAAGCAGTAATGTTAGTGAGTTCCTTTTATTTTGAGGGAGAGTTTGATGAAGAAGCATCACTTCTGGTTTAAAAGCAGAAACACATTTTGATATATCCCGAACTAGCATGCATTACATCCGAAGTTTTAAAGAGGAAAATATAAATTAATACATACAAAAAAAATAAATGTACTCCTAATTATGATATGGGAAAAATAACTTTTCCAATCTATGCTCATTTAAATGGTGCTTCTAAGTCTGCATCCAACCAAAGTAGACTAACTTTTAATTGCTCAAGCTCAATGGTTATGATGTTAACAATTCATTGACCATATACCCTCATTGATGTCTTAATGTCTTTCTGAAATTATACTTCCACTTAATTACCACTGTCCCATCTAAAATTCCCCCAGGTTATTCTTACATCAGTGATGATGCATGTTACATAGTTACATAGTTACATAGCTGAAAAGAGACTTGTGTCCATCAAGTTCAGCCTTCATGTTGGCATGCAGATATTTAGTTATATTTTCCCAACTGCTCTGTCAGCTTCAGGCATAGCCTGGACATGTACACCTTGTAACACATTTTATAATGTATCCAGATAAAATCATTATATTTATAAGATATATAATATTTAATCAAATACAGCAAACTTGGTAAACTCATCATTCATGGTCCTATGAGAAATACTCCATGGTATATAGTGTCACAAGTTAAGAAACTTGAGGCATTTTCTCAGTAGATAACCCCACATTATATTTCTTGTTCAAACATTTTGCAAGTTATTAACTATTAAATAAGACACAGACATACTAGAATTCTTGAACTTCTTGGGGTCAGATCAAGCTTTATCAAACTCATTCCATCTCACCTATCTTCTCTGAGGACCACTTAAAGAAGAAGATGATCACTTTTGGTCAGAAAGACAGGGAAGTCCCATGCTCTATCCAACCACAGCCTTTAGGTAGGTAATGAGTTAAGAACTTATGTAAAAGTTGATAACACTAACCTAAGACTTGAGGTAGTGATGTTAGTGTTTAGGGCTAAGGTAATTACTGAATTTAAAGTCCATGTATGTACTTTGACAAATACCGAGGTAAGAGATGGGCTGAGATAAGCACTGTATCAGCAAAAAGATCCATATTTAAGCAGAAACTGGGCTGCGGTAAATATTGAGGGCAGCATTGAGGCAATTATAGAGATACAGGCTGAGGAAAACCCCTAAGTACTAAAAAAAACTTAAAGTAATTGTAAGGTAACTAATAAGGTGAGAGCTTAGAATTAGCAATGAGCAGTTCTAAAGTAAGCATTGAGGTAAGTATTGAGGTAAGTCCTCAAGTAAAAATTGGGTTTAGAGCTGATGTAGTCCTAAGATAAATATTGAGGTATGAGCAGAGAGGCAAGTCCTAAAGCAAGCAGTAAGGTAAAAGCTGAAGTACTCACCCCAGTGACCACTGCAGGCTCTCCCATGGATAAGAGCAGGGTAGCACCTAACAGAAGTGCAAAGTATTTCCTCATGTTGTGGAACCGGAGATTCGCTGAGTTCTAGACAGAAGGGGTTCCGCGGAGGAGGTCGCGGTAAGCCTGCGGAGTGAGAGGAGAAGACCTTCAGCCAGGAGATGCAGGACTTGGTGAAAGCGATGGTTCTGGAGAGCAACCCGGCTGCGTCCTGAGTGTAATGCGGACTGTTGACTTTGGTCCCTCTCTCCGGTGTGCTGAGCTGTTATAAAGCCCGGGCTCCATGACTCAGAGAAAGAAAGAAAGGCATGCCTGGTGTCAATCACAGTCCACGAGGCTGGATAAAGGAGGACCCACGCCTTTCTGGCCATGTTCCTCCACACCTCCACTGGCTAAATGAAGCATCACTAGGTGAACACTTCAAGTCACCAGGTGACTTCATTCTCTGCCTGCATCCTGTGAGGTATTCAGGAGAAACCCTGGCAGACATCCAGCAGTAATGCTACCGAGCTATTAATATTATACAAGCAGTGTGCTGGCAATGCTCATAATTATCAGAGGCTCTGAACAATGAAGGGTAGGGGCTGGTCCTGCTAACACTCCAACCAATGAAATTTAACACCAGGTATCAGCCAAGTCTTCATTATATGGGAACGCATGATGTGCACATAACACTGATACCTTACTGTACTTACCTTACAGTTAAATGTCTGTCAGTATCACACTAAGATACAAATTATATTAGAGCAACTTTATTTCAGTGTGTAAAGAATTATACAAGAGTATGTAATATATATCTGCCATCTATCTATCTATCTATCTATCTATCTATCTATCTATCTATCTATCTATCTATCTATCTATCATCTACACATATATATGTAAAGATCTTTCTATGTGTCTGTCTATCAATCTGTCTGATATCTTTGCAGATACATAAAAAAAACTATGTGCATTAGACAGAGACAGACAGTCAAACAGACATATATTTATAGTACCATTACGTTGACTAATAGTAACATCCCCTGTATTGTATATGTATATATTAATGTATTTACAAATGCATACAGTTATGCATATGTTTATGTAAATGCATAATATCTCAGGTAGCTCTGCAGTTTAAAAATAATTAGAATTAATTACTGGAATGATTCAGACATACATAGGCAAATGAGGTACTCCAAATAAAATGTCTATCAGTATCACACTAAGATACAAGATATGTTAAATGAACTTTATGTCAGTGTGTAAAGAATTATACAAGATTATATAATACATGTCTGCTTATCTATCTATTTTTATATCTGTTTCTCTGTCTCTCTGTCTATCTATTTTTATATCTGTTTATCTCTGTCTATCCATCCATCCATCTATTTGCTCTGTATCTGTGTGTTTGTCTATCAATCTGTCTGCCTGTTTGTCTGTCTCTCTCTCTCTCTAATGCAAATAGTTTTTATGTATGTGCAAAGATATATATATATACATTAAATTGGATAAAAGTTTCATCTCCTGGACATAATTTGAAACCAGAGTAATCTGACTGTACCTTTCCTGTTTAAATACTTTTTATATATATATATGTATGTATTGTATATGTGTAGATACATGTATTTACATATGCATACAGTTATGTAGATGCATAATATCTCACGTAGCTCTGCAGTTTAAAAATAATTAAAATTAATTACTGGAATGATTATGACATGCATAGGCAAATAAGGTACTAGAAATAGCATCAGGTAGATTTTAATTCAATTTACATACACCCTCAGGAACTTTTGTTGCAACTGTTAATTGTTGGTGAAGGAAATCAAGTTCTCGATAGGGAGCACAATAATAGCAATATAAAAACACCACTTAAATTGTGTTTAGATACTATATCTCTAAAGCAGTGTCTGTCACAAGTGTTCTACAATATCTGGGGGTCTTCCTCCTGGCCAACTATGCTTTAGATGTGATCATCCCAATAAATAATTGGGGGGCACTACATAGAAGTAGATTTTTATTGTTATTATTACTACTTACCTATGTAGGTTAAGGGCAATTTGCGTGTTTAATGTACAGCAAATATTGTTTTAACTTGAACCTTCTTTTAATCAAAAAAGAAACATGAAAAGTTGTTAATTAGCACTTTTCACGTATTTCTTTCACTGTACAAATACATAACAAGTCAAGGTAGTATTAGCATTTTGTTGTATAGATCCTGTTCCTGCACTTCTTAATTCTCTGCCATTTAAGAGATAATACACTTTCAGGGTTATTCACTAAACACTAGATCAGGGGTAGGCAATCTATGGCACATGTGCCATGCACGGCACTCTAGGTGTCTTTGCACGGCACTCAAGGCTTGCTCTGGCCTATCAGGAGTCCCAGTGAAACTTCAGATATCTGCTAATATGAAAAGGTGGTGAAGGACAATCCTCAATTTATGCATAGAATAAGTGATCTCAGTTTGCTTCATTCCAGCACTTGTGAATGGGAATCCACACTGGAGTACAACAGCCCACAGCTGCTACTGCAGCTCCTGTCCTTGACCTGTACCTGGTCAGCCTGGTCCCCATTGGACCCCAGGGAAGCCATCCACACTGCTAGATATACAGAGAGCTGCAGAATAACCCTCCCCCTCATACAAATAATACGAACAGCCCACACACAAACGCACAATCCGCACAGACGTAACACCACTAACAATCCACATACATGCACACAAACCCACATGCAGTCTCTCACATGCAATACCCCAAACAGCTACACACATATACACACCACCAAACACACAATGTGACATATCCATCCACACACACAATTCCACAAGCAGCCCCCATACAAAACCCACATTCATAGGTGTGATACATGATACCACAAACTACTAATGAACATATAAAATAGAATAGCTCATATACGCACAAATACAATGTTACAAAGCAACTGCAGTATAAATAACACAAGCAGAATATGGCAACATGCACACCTCAATTTAAAAAGAATAGGACGGGCATGCTACTGGACATCACAATCCTATTTCGGAACAGTGCTGCTAAAAGGTTGCCTACCCCTGCACTAGATGTTGTCCAGATGGACAAAATCTTGTGAAAATGACTGAATTCGGACCACAGTGGCAATTCTCATATTCACTAAAACCAATTATATTCGGAATTCGGTTGGTCTGAGTATATCTGCAGCAATCGCCCAAATGCATTTGATGTCTGGACTAAAACTATTGCTTTCATATTTAAATCCTATACAAAGAATATAACTTGGAATACGCAGAAAGCCTTGGTTTTACTAAAAGTCTGAACCAAATGCATCCAGCAGAATGCCCATTCACCAATTAAAGTTCACTCGCTTTGTTGCAAGTGAATCATGGTTTGAAGTACTATTTGCACACTGGCTGCATTGGCAACTAGCAGGCAGATACTTAAAAACCCTTGGCATCAGAAGTGTTAATTATGTGGCACTTACTAGCCAGCTGGCACATTAAAAAATTTAAGAAAAATAACTTAATAAATAAAAACGTTATGGGGCAATAAGACCCACATATTACTATAAGGGAAGTTTAATTTTTAAATGTTAATTATTAATGCGTAATCTTTAAACCTAGCGGCTTGGCAGTCATTGCTGCCCATTAAAAAGAAAGATCTCATCCAATAGTGATGGGATTTGTAAAATAACAGGCGGGGGACATAGTCCCCTTCCGTGGGGTATTTAGAATAAATAAAGGGGGATGAACAGATCACTGGCCCCTTATCTTGATACTTGCCTCTCACTGATATTGCGTAGCGTGGGAAATGGTTATGTATATTCCTTACACATGAGAAAACTTGAAAAATGGACAAAATACCGCTGTCAAGTTTTGACAGTTCATGTTTCGCATGTTGTACTCATGCATATCCCTGAATTTTCACCCAAATAAGAAATATGGGTGATGGGAACTTAATGTTCTGGCTAGAGTACCATCAGCAGGAAATGCGATTGGTTTTGAGTAATGAGCAAGCAGTAGTTTTGTGGCTTCTTGAAGAGCTGGCTGAGCATGATGAGATTAGTCCATCATCATCTGGCAATTAAATATAAGCAGCCGATTTAACAGAGGCTGGTGATGAAATTGTTAAATAAAAAGTGTTAAAACAACATTCGCCTTGGGGATATACTTTCTACATCTCAACATTTCAAATCTTCAAAAGGTTTAGCTTTAAAATCGTAATTAATTTATTGCAATATTTGTTTTATACCTTCTAAAAATTAACTGAGAGAAAGTGGACATTTTAACAATTAGAACTAATTAGTGAATCTATTTTAAGTTATTTTACCTTAAGTTGCATTTGTTGTATAGAAATTATTATTATAATTTTTTTTTATTCTTTATTTTTGCAGTGCATATACATATAACAGTCGCTTGTGAGGTACCCCAACGACAATCCTCTAGTGTGTCGTAGTCATTTGTAACATTAATGCATATGAGAAAGCATGCACAATTTTATAATTAAGTAGAGGTTAACAAGAGTAGCATGGTCTAGATACCGTACATGCAGGTGTCCTGTATTGTCATGGCAGTATGTACTAGCTAATATGCAAAACATGGTAAACAATATCATGGCACAATGATATATTAGTGATAAGTTGGTTACAAAAATTACGCCTGATAGGCTAGCCTACGCTGGACACTAGCGGAGTAACTGGCATAGCTGGGTGCCTTATTGTAGATTAGCACGTCAGTTGTGGGGTGAGGCTGGTGAGGTACTGGGACAGGCTAGCAGGCTAACAGACTAACTGCTTGTGGGTTGCCAGTGCCTCTAGCTTAATTCACTAAGGTAAATCAAAGTGGTGTTGGTTAAAAATAAAAGAGTGAGTAAGAAGGAAATCCCTAGGTATAACTCTGCTAGTCAACTTCAAATAACATGCTAGGTCTACTGTGCCTAGTGGCTAATAAAAAGGAGACGTAAATCATGCTGTCTAGATATAGCTAGTGTTTGCTGTTCGATGTTAATTTAGGGAATTATGCTTATGCATGGTATGTCAAGGAAAGGGCACATATTCTTATTGTTAAAGCTGGTTACATGTCCTGACAGTCTTTTTTCAAGAGGTAAGTGCACCTGCCAGATGCAGTGAGTATTACAAGCAATTGGTAGTAAGGCAGGCCGTGTGTGTCGTGTCAGTCAGCCGTTACCCTGCAGGATCATGAAGTCTTCCTGGTA